TTAACTAATGCTCGACAAATGCGTCAATATCGAACTCGACTCGAACGCAGCTCGAGCTCGACTCGAGCTCAGTGTCACATATTTGATTTGTAGGCGGCTTGTAATGGCCTTTCTGCATATTTGGCTTAAATGGGCGCTGCATTTGGAGCCCTTAACTTGTCACAGTCGCTGGGCCTGACCCACTTAGCCCACTCGTGCTCTGCGCAAATTTCCTTGACATTGAACTACATTTAGCAGCATTCGTAGCCCACACGAGGAATTCCAGTTTTATTTTGCACATAGAATGAATTCCAAAGTCAAATACAACCAGTTTCCAGTTTCGATTTTTTGCAACGTAATTTATTTGACAGGCAAACACAATGCAAACAACAACAAGAACAACACTTCATAATAAAAAATACAATCGAATTCGATTTTGTTATTGCCAAATTGTGTTCACATTGTTAGCTGCACGTCTGCAAAAACCAGTTTCTTTCGGTCATTTCTGGTTAGGGTATACTCCATAGATATACTTTAGCTGACTATATAAATAAAACTTTAATTAAATTAATTAAATTTATAATTTTTTGGAAGTTGTATATCTTGTCTGTTGCATGTTTAACAGTAGTAAATGTTACAATCTGTTAAGCAGCTAGCGAGCGGAAAGCTTGTTGAAAGCTTTCTGTTAAGTGCTGCGCAGTGTTGCCGTGCAGCTTACAGTTACTACTTTTCTGTTAAGTGAAAAATATAGTTTGAAAACTGCTCTTTAATTAATTATTTTTATTTCTAGTTAAAACGAGAATAAAAAATTTGTAAAAATTTTATAAAAATAAAAGAACTTAGAGAAAATTTATAGAAAATGTAAAATAATTTATTAGACATATATGGCTTGCGGACAATATCTGTTTTAACTATCAAATTGTTGCTGTTTGTTAAAGAGCTAATACCCTTTTTATTTTGCTGTAATAGTCTAACAACAGCTTTAAGTAACTGACTTAAAGATGTCTTTAATTCTTCGCACAGCTGCCCGGAAAGGGCACTGAAAGAAGTCTATAAACTGTGAGTTATTACATATTGATGAGGAATTGTTTGTGTTAGAGTTACACAAGTTTAAATCATAGTAAAACAAAGTAATGCTTTTAATATCAATTAAACTAGGTTCTATTAAATAGCAAATTGTATGACATTAAGTACTAAGGAAGTCATATAATAAACTTAATTATTTTAAAATATGTTTTCGCCCCTGCCCATAATTCGTTGATGAATTGTGGACATTTGTTAGTCATACTTTTACCGTATTTTGATATTTCTATCTACAACTATTACTAATACTATAATACCCATTTCTTTTTCACTTTTACCTAATAGCTCAGTTAGACTCACAGTTGTTAATCGTTTTCGCCCTTTCCCAGCAGAACACAAAACCAATCAATAATTACCTACCTCAATTAACGTTACGCACTATGTGCACCTGGCAGTGCCAATGCAAAACTGAGCTGAACTGCCCATATATAACATATATATCTATTTCTATATACAGATCTATATATATATATGTGCATATGATACAAAAGTGTTTCACACTTTCTAAAAAGCAATCAGCGGTCGGCAACAATGATAAACATAGCAACAACAACAACAACAAAAAGATCAACATCAATTTGTATTAACAACAAACAAAAGCAACAACAAACTCGAAACTACTGAACTGAAAACAGAACAGAAAATTGTGCAATCTGCAAAAAAAATGCGTTCAGAAAAGCGAAAAAAAAAGCTAAGGAAAAACAACGCATTAGCAATAGCAACAACAACAACAACAAAACTTCGTTACAAGGGGAGCGCCAATGAACTGAAATGATTTCATTACAAATGTGGAGCGGTGCAGCGGCGGGGTGTGGAGCAGGGAGATTGGAACTTGGAGGTAGGGTGAGCGTAGAGTGGGTGCGGTGCAGATGGAAAAGTTGCGACTGGAGACGAGAAGAAATAGAACTTAATTAGTAGCAAATACGTCTACAAGTAGTTCCAGCATATGTATAGGTGGAAGAAAGAGAGGCAGAGAGAGAGAAGGGAGAGAGAGAGGGGGGAGAGGCACAGAGATTGCTAGGCAAAACGATGTGGAGAAATAGTGAAAAAGAACCCAAGAGAAATTAGAGGAAGATAGAATAGAGTGAAGAAACATATATCGGCTTCTAGAATCACAATATACAAAAGAGATTTAGAATGAGTGATAGAGAGAGAGGAAGAGAATAAAAAGATTACGAGAGTGAGAGAAAGACAGAGAGAGAAACAAAGATATACAGATTAAGATCAATAGATAGAGAGAGAGGGAGATCGAGAGGGGGGGGGGGGGGCGGGCGGTAGAGAAAAACAAAGAGATGGAAAAAGAGAGAGAGGGGGAGAGATAGAGAGGGAGATAGAGAGAATGAGAGAGAGGCAGAGAGATAGGGATAGAGATAGATGTAGAAAGTGAACTTTTAAAGATTTGCATAATGTGAGAGATTTATATGAAGATGTGAACCTGAGACAGAGAGAAAACGTATTGTATTAAATATAGAGAGAGTGTGAGAGAGAGAGGACGGACACTGATAACAAAATACGAGCATAAACATTTCGTAGCCACAAATTAGAGTCTAGTTAAAATATTATTTAAATTATTTTTTAGCAATAAATTCTTTGACTTACTCTAAATAGACGTACATTCACTATGTTTACCTCTAAGATATACCTGTTTATGTGCCTGATACTAGTTCCATTAGCTTAGGGCATGCACAAATTTGTGTTTGGTCAATAATACGCTGACAACATTTTCTTTGATCTTCTTTAGATTTGTTTAAACATATTCAAAGTTTTTCTGAAAGAACTCTTTGTTTCAGTTCAGTTACAAAATTTAGCTGTTTCGCCTAGTGTATTCAGCATATGACTGTCTCTCGCATATGAAACATTAAATGTTTGTTGGCTCATAAGAAGAATTGAGTTCATTCCGTTCGGCCTGCTCCCAAAATGCCAGCCAAGCAAACCAAGTGCACTATTTATAAGCATGCGCCCTTTCCCATCGTTGGACAGCTTTGAGAGCGGCCAAGTGGAAGGCGAAGATTTAGCATTTATTTTTGTCATGCCCAAGGCGTGACAATTAGAAAAGATTATGGAGTTTTATGGCAAAGTCTAGGGCGCGTGGGCGGCCACAAATGACGCCGACAGCCCGCAGACAGCAAACGCTATAGGAGAAAATGTCGTTGTTGGTTCAATAATTCTACACAAACATGCACACCTATATAAATATATATATATATACATATATATAAATATCGATATATATATATATATATAATGCATATCTCTGCATATGTAGAAGCAACAATGGCGTGCTTCAAGTTCATTAGTCGGCAACATTTTCCTTGGCACGTGCTATAATCGAAGATAATATGTTGCATAAGAGTCGTTGGTTCCTCTGACGTCATCGAGTCAACAGTCAACTGTCAACTGTCAACGGGAGCGGGAAGATACTGCGGATGCTGCGGCCATATTGTGATTTATTACGGTTAGCATCAAGTTGACTTCGGAGCAGAGCAAATGGGAGCGCGCCATCTGATATGGAGGCAGACAGAGACGCAGATACAGATACAGATACAGATACAGCTACAGATACATATGCAGTTAAAGATACAGATACAGAGCAACAGACAGAGGCACTCAAAAGTGCATTCGCATTTCAATTAAAAACAGAAGCGACCGAAAAAAGAAATAACAAAAATCGAAAGGAAACTATAAAAGAAGAATGATAGCTGAGCTTGGCAATGAACGATGCTGAAATACACTATATATATATAAAAAATATAAATATGACAAAAAATATAAGAGTTTCTTAGAATTGTTAAGAAATAAATATTGCTCAATCTGTTTATTGAAAATCTATAGATTAGTGTATGCAAAAAATATAAAAAAATTCTGTAATAAAACATATTTGTTTCATGTATTTTAAATATAACTAAAATAAAATTTCTTTTATCTGTAATAAAGCTTTTAAAAATCTCAGAGAATAATTGTCTTTTAGCAATATACTAAAAATAATTACAAGCTAAAATAAAGGCATAAAGCATTTAAAAAAAATAATATTTAAAATTAAATAAAAATATACCTACAAAGTAAATGAAATGTAAATGTTAAAATATACTCTGCAAGCTAATATACCCCATTTAAAAATGAATTTGAAAGCAATTCAATGTGTCTCCAACTCCATTGCCAGCTGTTTATTTATGTGTGTCGCCTGCAACACGAAATGTTGCTGAGCTCGGCAAATGCTGTGGATGCGACAATTGCAACTGCAACTACGGCTACCTTTTTTGGCGCACTTATGCAACTGTACATTGCCATTGGCCATAATAGGGCATAATTACATATATATATATATGTGGAGCCTACGCCCGAAATTTTTGTGAAATTCATCAATGGAAAGCGACAACGACAGCACAGGAAGCTGCACTGATTGACTGATGACAAAAGGAAGTGGCCAAGTGCAAGATATCAATTTGCCAATTCGAAAACTAAACGGGCCTTAAGAGTCGAGGCAACGAGTACAGAGCTAAGTGAAAGACATCTAAGCAGCCAAAGTTCAGCAACATTTGTGCGGCGCCTTTAAATAAATCAGTTGCTAAGACACAAGCTGCGGAGGGGATTAGGGATTTACAAAGAATAGCCGCCTTTGTTGGCTGTCGAGTTGTTGTTGTTGTTGTTGTTGTTGTTGCTGCAACACCCACATAAGAGCAAGCGCTGGCAGCTGGAGTGCAGCTATTTTTAATTAAATGCAAAATATGCGCCCGCAGCATGTTGCTGGCTAAAGCTGCCGCAACATGCTGCGAGCTTAAATGTTGCCCGTCGGCGCGCTGCCTCAAATGTTGCCCGCGCTCAGTTGGACACAAAACGCCGGCGCGTCAAGTTGAGCAAAGGGCGCGCGCGCATTTCCATTGCATTATGTGGCATTTAAAAATAAAAATATAACGAATAAAAATAAGCAAAAAGTCGAAATTGTAACAAACGAGATGAGCAAGAAAATGTGGCACAAAATATTCAAATCGAAGTCGCAGAAGCAGCAACAGCAGTTGAACAAAATCAATAAGCGTCACAGTCGCGGCCTCTACGAGGAGTATCAGCAATTAAATGAGCTGCTCAATGGTGAAAAATCGCAAGTCGCGCGCGTTTCCAGTGAAAATGAAAACGAAAACGGCAGCAGCAACAGTTGCAGCAGCAGCGGCAACATCAATGTATTCGAGCAGCAGCCGCAGCAAAGTTCTTTCAACTCGCTGGCGCTTAGTGAGGCGCAACAGCAGCAGCAAAAGCAGCAACAATCGCAACAGCTGTCAACATTTTCGCGCGTACGCAACACCTTCTCACTGCGACGCAACAGCAACAGCAATAACAACAGCAGCAGCAGCAGCAATAACAAGAAGCAAACGCCCAATGCCAAGTCAAGTGAGTCGGCCACGCCTACACCTACTCCCACAGCTGCGGGCGCTGGACAGCTGCAGCATGTTTTGATTATAGTCAATCAGATTGAAGTCGCTGCAGCAGCAGCAGCAGCAACAACAACAACTAATACCGCTACTAATTTGCATGCCAACCAACCAACAACAACAACAACAACACCAATAACTAATTCAAGTAAATTTATCACAATTGATCAACTATTGTTTATAGCTGCTAATTGCTTAAATGATTCATTGAGCGCTTCTCAATTGGTTAATGTGAAAGTGGCACAGAGTCGACGTAGCAGAGGCAGCAAGTGAAAGAATTCTGAATGCTGCATATAGACTTAATATCTGATGACATATATACATATATATATACATCATTTATATATATATATTATGTAGCTTATCAAAATATTTAAGAGATATGTGATAGCTTCAATATGCTATATAATAGTTATAGTTATATTAGATATTTCCAAATCGAAATTCTTTCATATGTTTTCGATCTATATATGGCACAGCTCAAGCTTGTCTTTCTCCTTAACTTACAAATTCCACTGAACCAACTACATTGCTTCAAGAATCAGCTGAGCCTTAGTTATATATATGCAAGACATTCTCCTCCAGAAACCATCATTAAATAAATTTTTAAAAAATTACTATCTATATTTGAAAGAAAATATAGACATAGATATATACTTAATTTTCAGCTTTTATCTCTCGAAGTTCTATTGGCTTTTTAGTTTATAGAGCTCAATATGCAGTATGCTCAGCTACAATAATTCTAACTCTCTATTTATGTGACTTCAATATATTTTCTACTCACACATCACTCTTCACTCCTAACTAAGCTTTAATCTAACACAATTAAACAAATTTCTTTTGATTATATATTTATCTGAAGCAGCTTTAATTAACAATATTTACCATAATAATTTCGAATTTGTTTAGCGATTCTGTCTCACTTGTTGTCTTGTTTATAAGAATTTTGTTGTAGACCTTTTGATGACTTTTTCTGTTCGGCTTATCAGCAACAATACAATAAATGATGTCAGCTATATTTATTTTGGAAAAGTGACAAGCAAATTGAAGAGGGAGTCTTGAAAAGCTGCTAGGCAAAGTTTTTGTCATATGTACATATATATATATATAAATATGTTATGTGTGTAGTTCTTAACTGGACTATCCAGTTTTTATGCTACTGTCGCAAGTTGAAAGAATATATGTGGCACCAAAAATATGGGTCGCATAACAAACTCGTTGGCCAAGGTCCAAGCTATATAAACATATCATACATAAGCCCTACATGAACCTATTGCTTCACTCTAAATTAATGGATGCGCCAAAGAATTAAATGTCTTATGCAGAACAATAACAAATGCAGCGAGTTCTCAGTTCGTTCATACGGATTGAGCTGGTATATGATGAAGAGACTTTAATTTTGGGAGATTATCATAAAAAGATCTTAATTGAATATAGATTCATTTACAATATTATTACTAATCATATATCTAATTGTGATCTAGAACTGTTCAGGTGTACTGATCTTACCTAGCTTTCTATAAGACCCGCCTTGCTCTACCTCCAGTTATATAGAGACAAAAAATATATATTCAATTTTCCATCAGAAATCGGCTACAAGTATTACGTAAGATTTGATCTAGTAAACTTACGAACTCTTGAACTCGGAGCATTTGCACAAATCAAAAATCTGCTTAGACTCCAGACTTGAGACTTGGCCGCCCTGCTGCTCAGGCAGTTGTTCTTTAGGCAGTCGCTGAATTTTATTTATAAAACTCAAGTGGATATAGTTGAAAGAGATGCATAAAGTATAATCTCATAATGGCCCGAGTAGCCCTGCTGCTACTGTCTGCATTTGGCAATGCGAGTTCGCTGAGCATCATTAACATATGTGCATTGTGGTGCTGCTCTAGTGGTGCTGTCATGTGCAACGACTGCCCCACTACATATCCATCCATTGAGGCAGTCACTCACCCACTTCTCATCGGATTACGCTGCGTACACAAGTTGCATTGATTTGAATTGGAATGAATGCGAACGAGTCGAGCTTCCAGTTGCGCCAGCTCTCAGCGTGTTGCAGAAATTAATGCGTGTCGTTGATATATGTTATCTGAGTGCCTTGGATTGTCTTGGAATTATTGTAATATTGGCAGCCAGTCAGCAGATCGTATGTCTTGATTTCCATCCAAAGACACAAGAGTAGATTCCTATAACATCAAAATTCTTTACGGCTCACGCAATGTTTACTCGGCGTCGCCTGGCACAGGTTTCACATAATTTTATTGCTGTTCACATGGCAGATTACTAATAATAATATTTGTATGTAGGTAGTGTTATATAAATAATTGTTAAATAATTTAGAAGAGCCACATCTGCAACAGTCGAGCTTAAGTCTTAGCACTTACATAATTAAATGTGAAATTTAATTATTTTCAACTATTTTGTTGAAGTCTCATTTTATTTTTATTATTAAAAAATTAATATATAAATAATAAAATGTGGTCTTCATTAAATGAAATCACATTATTTAATTTCGCTTCTATCAAAAAAAAGATAACAAAAAAAGATGATTCTCTCATTGTTTTTGGGTTCAAATTCAGTAAATCAAAAAGTCAAGTGAATCGCGTTGCCGCACCGTGGGCTGCTTCGGCGCAGCACCTGTGCGCAGCTTGTATCTTCAAGATACAGATATAATAATGTCGCCCACAAAATGGCAGCAAGCTCAACAGCTTGGCTCAAACGAGCTGCCAAACTTGGACATTACCACATTTCATGCGGCAGATAAATAACAATTTATAGGCCAATCACACACGCAGAGGCAGCCAAATGTAGACACAATCCAAATAATAACAATAAATTATTTCTGAATTGCTTTTTTCTTCTTTTTCTTTTGTTATATATAGTTATTTTATTTTGTTGTCTATTGTCTTGCCAGTCAGAGAATTTATAGGGCTGTTGTTTTTTGGAGTTTGCTTAATTTGCTGTAGCTGACTTGACAAATGATGCCGGAAAAGCAGAAGCAAAGCAAAACAACTGCAATTCGATGGAAATGCGACTGGCATGTGATATGAAAACATTTGGCAAGCCGCAAGTGCAACTGGAAAGTTTTAGGGTTTCTGGCCCAAGACTAAGCCGTGCCACTTGGCCAAAGGCCAACAGTCTGCAGACGGACTTAGCCTTTAACTTGGCTTTCCCTTTGGTTTTTACTTCACTTTCGCTGCTACTTAAGACTGCAACTGGAAGTAAAGGAAGGAATAACAGAACTATATATACTTTTTAAGAGAGAAACAACTGAAACTTCGCTAGTGATGATAACTATACGAAAACTTTAATAAACTTCTGATTGGCTTCATAGATCAAGGACTTCCATTAGCTCTTAACACTTAAGTTACCTTTAAAATCAATTTAGCTTGAGTGAACGCAAAGTCATCATAGAAGGCGGGCTCAGTTAAGTTTTTGATTTGTTACTTTAGTCGAGATTTGTAAAATTTAGTTTTTAGGTTTCAAGCAATACAGAATCTTCTACCAGACATTGCAAAAGTTTCCCAACAACAACAACAGCTGAAGCCTCACAATCCAATAATATTCCAAATCTATTTTTTATATTTCAATCATTTTTGTCGGCAAAAACAACAACAACAACAACAACAACAGCGACAATGGAGTCCGACGGTGATGTGGATGACGAGGTGGTGGGTCCACCGCCCGGTCCACTGACCACGGGCTTCTCCGAGATCATAGCGGAGCAGGTAGTCACCAGCAGCAGCTTATCAGCCTGTCCCAACTGCAGTCGCACCTTCAACACGGATGCACTGCGCAAACATATTGTCGTCTGCGAGAAGATGAAGGCGAAGAAGCGCAAGCCGTTTGATTCATCGCGTCAGCGTCGTGAGGGCACATCCTTGTCCACCTATGTGCTGCCCAAGAATTTCGGGCTGCCCAATGCAGAGAAGGCGCCGGGCGTGCATACGCCGCCCTCGGCCAGCCGCGAGACATCCTCAGTGTCAAGCAGCGCTGTGCCGCAAGAGGTAAGCAGCTGAAAGGGGCTACCCTGTATTCCTTACTCTATTAACCGCATTCGCAGAACTCACCACAATCAGCACGCCGCAAGGCCAAAGATACGACACGAGGCTCATTGCGTAAAGGAGGTGGGGCCACTGCAGCTGCCGCTGCTGCTGCTGCTCCTGCTGCTCCTGCTCATGCCGAGCCGCCGGCAGCACCAGCGGCACCTGCAGCCGCTCCTCCTTCATCGAGCCGGCCACGCGCCACAGAGCGTTCCATAACCAGGCGCATCAAGGACTCCGCCACGGAACATTGTCCGCATTGTGAGCGCAGCTTTAATGTTAAGGCCTTCGATCGCCATGTCGAGTGGTGCAAGGAGAAGGCCATTCAGGCGAATATGAAAGCTAGCAATACCGCCGAGACGAGCAAGGCCAAGGAGCGTATGGAGGCGCGCAAGAAGTATCGTCCGCCCAATCTCAAGTAAGAATTTCAGATTGAGAACTCCTTTCTCTGATTTTAGATCCGCCCTTGAGGCGTGATACGTTGCTGAGCATCGCTCGACTGCAACGTTCTCATTGGGTTTCCTCTACATCTACTCATATTTTATCCACCAATTTTTTGCTCCCCTTAGAACCAAGCGCTCCATCAATCGGGACAAGTACTCGGGTGCACAGGAAGAACAGTATGAGCCAGAAGTAGAGCCCCCGATGACGCCGTCCGTGCAAAGCGTTAAGTGAGTACTTAAGCCTAGAGTAAACCTTAAATTAATGCGTAGACTAGCCAAACCTATCTGATTGGCCCATCTGGCGTTGCTATGGTTGTCGTTGAAGTTGCCTAACTCTGCAGTAATGTTTTGACCAGTAGAAACCGTCGCGTAGTATTTGCTCATAAAGTATTCGTAGCAAGTGATCTTCGTATATTTGCCCACTGATCTCACTCCACACCCAACATGAACTTAGCTCGCAAAGAAGTGCGCCACAGCCGCCGATGAGGGTGCAACGCCCAGAAACTCCACATGGATATGATGCACCGCAGGGGAGAAACTCTCCAATGCCAATGAATAACCAGTATAAAGCTAATACACGCATGCTCGCCGAGGAGCCATCGAACGTTGTCTACCAGGAACGGGGACATATGAGTGCAAGACGCAAACAGTACGATGAGGATGAAGCCGATGAAGCCATGGAGCGCATGCGTCATAATCCTGCCTCCGAGACCATGCAGGTGGCCAAATTGGATTGCGTCGAGGCGGCGCATCTGCAGCCAGCCAGATCCCATCGCAGACCTTCATCCCATCGCGCGAATGTCGAGTCTCCCGAGGTCATGGCTGGCCTACCCCAAGTCACGATGACTTTCGAGGAGCTCAATGGTCTGATCAAGCGTCAAGGTAGGCTCGGTAACCATTGCAGACCCAGCCTAACTCTAAACACTTAGAATCAGTTCAGTTTGTTCTTTCGCTCTACTTACCACTTCGTCCGCAGGCATAAGGTTCATAGGGTTCTGCATACCCCATAGCGTGCCTAGACTTAATTAACATCAAATGATTTCATAATTAGTTTCCTAAGCTGCGGAACAATTTGATGATTCTTAATTAATGCGCAGCGCATTTAAGCGCTTAAAAGATCAGCCAACCATAGAGCTGCATTAGTCGCAGTCCATAGGTACTCAGAAACTTGGAATATAATAGACGATCAGCGTGAAATAGAAGAGATCCAACTCCGAGAACTAATTCAGTTCTTTGGGGTAAAGCAGCTCTTGGAAACTAGAAAATTAGAGTAATTGACTTTAATACAATTATTTGGGTATAGTCCAGTTAGTCTGATGGGGGGATTTAGGGGGAAATTTTGTAATTTTGTTTCATCAACTTTTTATAACGCACGCTGCCGCAGCACACGCAGGTGCCGCAAATATTTGCAACATACAAATGGATATTGAAGATCCGGAATTGAACGTAGCACCGAAGCTGCGTACATCCACATCGCTGGTGCGTCAAGCCCGTCGCCGCATACGCACCCATGAGAATCCGAATATAATTTTGCGTCCTCTGGAGCCGCCAAGCGAATTTGTTCATCAGCCGCACACTGAACAGCAAAGCCATCGCTCGGCTCGATCCCCAGCCCCATTGCGTCGCATTTCCAACGATCAATACTCTGGCTCCGAGGACGAGGAGGAAAACTTGCCGCATGCCGAAATACAAGTCAAGCTGGAGGCGAGCACCATTCAAGCTGTGAGTCGTCCGAGGAAGCGTATACAGCTGCCAGTCATCCTGAACAGCGCGGAGCCGATGCGCGCCTTGCCTCTTCCTGCTGCCAATTATTTGCCGGCTATTGATATGAAAAGCGACTTACAGGACGAAGATTTGGAAGATGAAGGTGAACTGGATTACGATGAGGCTGACATGGAAGTTGGTCAGCTACTCAGCAAGGCTAAGCTATTGGAGGGTCACTACGATGACGAACTGGACGATGCCGAGGAGGAACAGCCCGCGGTGGTGCCAAGGAGTGTCAAGGGCCGCAGTACACCATCCAATCTTAGTCGACGTATGGTAGTGGTGGAACAGGATGAAGAAGGCACCATGTACATTAGGCAGCAGCGATCGCCGACGAATAGCAAACGATCAGTACGATCGCTCACCAAGAGGTTTGTTCTTAAATAGTCATTCCGGGAAAGCAACCAGACAACGCACAGACGGGCGGGTCAATCAGATCTCTAGGGCCAGAGCTCATTAGATATTTCTGCTTTGCAGTTGTTAATTTTTATTATGTTTTCAATACAGCGGCCTCAATCCGTTGGCTAGCGACAAGTACGATCCGTTTCTGTCCGCCAAGCGTCAGCTGGAGGAGCTCTGCTCACCCAATACACCACCCGACAACGAACCGCTGGTCAACACAACAGCCACACCTACACGCACACCCACATCGATCATGTCCACCTCGCTGACTAGCGCGCTGGGCAAAGCGCCAACGACGACATCCATGGCGCCCAAGGTAACGCCGACATCTAGCTTTCGACGCACTTCGTCCCTGCGTGGACCACGCCGCACACCTTTGCTGCCCAGTCGTCCACTCTTTGCCACCAACTATCGGCCCACCATTCAGCGCGGCCTCTCCGACGAGGGTCCCATATCGAGCAACTTCCTCAAGCCGGAGGAGTATGACGAGATGCCTGTACGTGCTGCTTGCAGCAATGACTTTCATAGTCCGCGTGTTGTACGCCGTGATACGAGCGCCTCGAATCGCAAGCAGCAGTTGAAACTGCCTCTGGGTGGCGGCAATGAGACGGATAGCACTTCTACATCCAAGCAGCCGCCGCCGCGTAATGTAGCCAAGACCGATTCGTTGGCCGTGTTCCTCAAGTACGAGCACGAGCTGGAGCAGCTGAATGCCAAGGCTGCGGAAGTAGCTGCCCATAGCAAAGAGCAGAACAGCAAGGAGCTCAGCAGCAGGGAGCTCAGCAGCAAGGAGCTAAGCAGCAAGGAGCTCAGCAGCAAGGAGCTGAAAGATAAGAGCAACAATCTGAGCAAACAGAATTCGGCTAAGAATCTAAATGCAAACAGTGGCCAGCTGCCACCGCTCACCACGCCCATTTGTCCACCAGTCGCCAAAGAGAACAATGAGAATTTGGCCCATAACTTTGCCACGCCGCTGCGCTTGGAGCCCATCGTCAAGCCGCAACAGAATCTGATCAACAACAATAGCGTCATTGCTGCACCGTTGCCCATAAAGCTGGAGAGCATCTTTGGTAGCAATCGAATGGGCGATTACATAGATCCCAAGCTGATCAACCCCTGCGATAATCTGCTAGTGCAGCAATCGTCCACTGGCTCCTCCGATGCGAGTTCCACGCCACAGCAGCTCTCGCAGAGTCGCAGCAGTTCCCAGTCTACCATAACGATGGGACAGGAGCAGCGGCGTAATTCCGGCGAGGCGCGTAACCTGCTGAAGCGCAAGATGCGTCTCGGACGCAATCAATTTCTGTATGATGCTTCGCCAGAGGAGGCGTATATCTCATCGGGCAGCTGCGCTGATGATGAGGCCAATCGCTCCTCGCTGGAATTTGACGAACAATGTTGGCAGCAGCAGCAGAAGCAGCTGCTCTCCAATCCACTCAAAACAATGCCGCTGACTCTACCCAATATGCCTGTGCTACCCACATTTGATGACTTTGATTTTGAGGAATTTCTCTCATCATTCGAGAACGAGAATGATGAGGAGCAATTTCCGCTGTTCCGAGACTGTCGCGAGTTTCTGCTGAATCGCACAACGAGCCGGCAACGCTCGTTCCAGAAGGCGACTTCAACACCACAAGGACAATCCCAAGCACAGACACAGACACAGACGCAGACACAGACACAACCACCGACGCCGACAGCTACACAGAGACCAGCTACAACCTCTGGCATTAGCTCACAGTTTATAACGCCACCTAAGACCCACTACTATGCGCCCAACACTAAAGAGCCTCATGCCCACAGGTCGAATTCGAGTTTATCAATTGGTGGCGAATCATTCAAATCGGCACATGCCAACACTGGCTCCTACAAGACACCAAATAGCAGCGGCTCCTACAAAACACCGCCGAATGGCGCTTTCAAGACGCCGTTGACCAGCAGCGACGAGAAGCTGGAGCGCCAGCTGTCGAATGCCTCCGCCACCAGCAGCAACAGCAACTACCATGGCGAGAAGGGGCAGAAGTCTATGGACGAATCAAGCAAACGTGAAATATTTATAAGCATTGAAACTGAGGCCAATGCACAAGGGCGTTCGCCCATCTCACCGGACTCACTGCGTCACATGGTTGGCAATGCACAGACGCCCATCGATGTGCTACATATTGAGAACGGCAACGAGCCGGAGCATGCTAAGTTCAGCAAAATTAGCGACAACGAGGATCAGTTCGATGATGAGACTGGGCGCGTTCATTATCAGAATCGGGTGAGCACAGCTGTGACATCACCACTGCCCAATGTAGAGGCAAACAATGCCAAGAATGTGATAGAGAAAATGCGCAACGATTTCAAACAGCTGGGCGAGGAGGCGAGCGCCTCGGTGCGTCGCGATATCTTGCAACGCCAGGAGCAAGTGCAGCAAAAGCAACAGGATGTAAAGGCAACGACGCAATCGCCATCAGGAGATTCGGATGAGCTGAGTAGCCTTGATGGATATCCGATGTCCTCATCGCAATCATCACGTCGCGGAGCTAGTTCCAAGCTTAGCACTGACTCAGCTTACGGCAGGTTAGTCGCAACGTATCGATTTATCGATAGCTAGTAAGTGGGTTAAGCATACACTATCGGCAATAGTCAATAGTGATGACAGCAAAATAACTAAGCAATCGATACAAGCTGAACATGCGAGCTTGATTTTTATTTACCTGTGTATCATGTCCGTCCACTTTACTATGTCAATTTTCGAATTACGAAAAGGCAGTGAATGTATATATTCTATTTTGTAAAGACAGGAAGATCTGACGAGCACTACACTGAAAACATATAGTACTTACGATTGCCACGACTTATCGATATTTATATCAGCGATATTCTTAAGTTCAATACTTAACAGCTTTTTGTATTCCTTTTTATTTTAAATACTATAGCAGCAACTCTCCATACTGTCTGTCCCGTCAGCGCTCTAGTGAGCTGCAGTCTAACAATAATACGCCGCGCACCCCGGGCCAATCGCGCCCACACACTGCAAGCGGAGCTCCAGCCATGTCCCCCAAACAGTCCAACAGCATGATGGATGCCTCAACGCAGGCACAAAGCAACTATGGCACACTGAAGGCGCGCCAGCGCATGTTTGCACCCAATGGTCTCGGCATTAATACCGATGCTGGCAACGGCAACGGCAATATGGAATATTCCAGCAGCAGCTCGGAGCAGCTGATGCAGCAACAGGAGCAGCACCAACAGCATCACAAGCAAAACTCAAATTATAACTACATACAGCAACAGCAATCTCAGCCTCAGGTAGCCAACAATAACAACTACGAACTTAACGCATTGAACTTAAAGAACAACAACAACAATAATAGTGGAGGTGTTGGTTTAACGCCTACGACATCTCAGCACTCCCTGCACAGCAGCAATTCGAATGTTTCTATGAAAATGTCCAAGTTTTGTCACGAATGTGGCGCCAAATTTGTGCTAGAGCACGCCAAGTTTTGCATGGACTGCGGCGTTCGACGCGTCGTGCTCTAAGCTCATTGAAACCGCTACACATACAGACACGCCACACACGCACGCACACACACACTTATGCAAAGCGTTGCTGAGGTGGGAGGATTAATCTGTGTTGGTCAGGCAGGAGCGGTTAGTGGAAAAGTAGTGGAGGTTCTTATACCAAATGTAGTTCTTACCTGAGAGATCGACGATATATATATAAATTTATATATATATATATATATATATATATATATATATATATATATATATATATATATATATATATATATATATATATATATATATATATATATATTAGCCTACATAAGCTATATGCTACTTAAATATATATTTTAATAATAATAAAAACAAAAAGCAAACAAGCAAAAGTTTTAAAATGAACAAAAACATGCAATAATAATTATAAAAATAATTAACAACAATGGTATTTGATTTCCAATATTTCTTAATTATTAATTAGAAATGTTTTTTCTTGTCCTTTATTAAAGAAATATAACAAACACTTTTAACCAAGTTGTTGATTAACAAAGACTGAACGAATTTAAACGAAGATAAAAGCGTTGAAAGCATACGAAATAAAAATCGAAATCGAAATCGAAATTGAAATCAATTAATATTAAACTAAACATTTTTCGAAATCTAACGCAAACACAATTATATTCGTATTCTGTAAACTGTTTACTAATTTTATAGTCACCGCTTAAATATAATCTTATACTTATATAAACACTATATTATTTAACTTTTAAAGAGTTAGAAATAAATGGATTTGCTTCACACATGTATTTCAATTGGTTTAAAATTATCCTTGAGCGTTCGCTAAATCAAAATATTCATGGAACTCATCTCGATAAGATTAAAGTTATATAATTGATTTAAAAACATTTTCTTTTCTTCACAGCAGTGCGAGAAGTTTCGACAGACATTTGAAATGTAAGATCAGAAATCGTGTTTCAAGGGTCCGTTTAACTGACAGCACATGAATATTTATAGATTAAACTAATATAAACTTATGCACGCATTATAAAAAAATTAAAAATTTACTTCTAATACTGAACTTTTTCAATTAAGCTGATCCAGCAACTTTAATCTTGACTTAAGTAAATATATACTGAAAAAAATACAAGAGAATAATATAAAACAAAAGCCACTTGACAACAAATATTGAAATGTTCCAGTTAAACAAAATGAAGGCTTGCCAGTTTGAGTTTAGGCTATGTTTTTTAGAAAATAATGTTTTCGAAATTAAAAGTTAAGCTCAGGACTTCTTACAGATATATCTGAAATATTCTCTAATGAAAATGAGTATATTCAAAGACTCTCAGCATAGAAGTCAATTTGTAGGTCTTAACTTACTGCAGCTGCAGCAGCTTTTGTTTGGTAAATTTACATGCTGAGGCGCAGGCCCTTAAGAAGTTGGTATGGACTGTAATCTTTCCATTTTCAGCCAATACGGTGTTAATGTTAATGGAGCCAGAAGATTCACAAGAGCTGCTACTTTCGGTAAGCGATTCAGTAGCAAACGAATTGCTGCAGCTGCAGCTGCTGCTGCTGCTTCTGTTATCTGTGGAACAGTGATTTAATATGTTATATTTTTGGTGCTAGCTTTTTTACTTACTCGTTGTATTTGCCTCCTGTAGGCTTTTGGAAAAAGCTATGGGAATGTCTTGTGGCATTTTTGCATACCACATTTTCACTTCCTCGTCCGATTCATCTTGATCACCTTCTTCGATGTCCTCTAAATTCATATCCTTCAAGAAACATGGACGTTGCAGGCCATCCTTCTTTTTGAACAAATAGTTGCCATGCAACTTACATTGGTTGATGACGTAATTGATGTCACTATGATAACGCAGCGTTACTGGATTGCCAACAAGTATCATCAAGGACTTCGCACGTGAGAGGAGCACATTTACTCGACGTGGATTACGCATGAAGCCTATGTTAGCAAAGGAACGCACTAGCGTCGCGATGATAATGGGCTTTTCACGGCCTTGATAATTCTCGACGCTGCCCACCTCCACATCGTAGTAGCCTTGGTTGCGCAGCAACTCGTTGAGGAGCCTGCACTGTGCTGCATACGGTGCCACGATGCCAATGTCCTGCTGCTGCACACAATTACCTCCGCCTAGGCCGAAACTAAGCAACTGCTTGACATACCAGCAGACCACTTGCGCCTCCAACATATTAAGCGAACTGGTGGTGTGATCTTCGCGCCTTGTCACGCCATGCGTAGCTTGGAATATAATCGGAAAGTCCGCATTGGGTAGCATTCGCCACTTGGCTGCTAGGTTGACCTGTGACGGTGGCGCCTGTGCTATGAGTTCATCGTTGTAATATAGCTTATTATACAGTCCAACGATTGCCGGATGGGATCTATAGTTTAGACGCAATCGCGTCTGTAATGTGTGATCATAATTGCCATTTGCGTCCACAGCGTACAGTTCGCATCGGAGCAGGCGCTCTATTAGTGAGTGGCGCAGACCCAGATGTGCAGCACGATTACTCTTAATAACTGCGCCCAGCTGTTTGTGATCGCCGGACAGAATCACATGGCATGCGTCCTGCTGTTTAATGCCCACAATACCAATAAGAGCCTCGGGCTCGGTAGAAGCTCCAGCTTCATCAATGAAGACGTGTGTAAAAAAATTAAATTTACCGACATTTTCTGTTACCAGACGGCCTACAGTGCATAGAGTGGCTACAATTATGCCATATTTGCGTAGTTTGTCCACACGCAAGTGTTTGTATTTATAGTTGGCACAATTAGAATGCATTAGGAGTAGCGGATCCACCGAATTCAAACCCTTGGCGTACACAGAGCGCGAGAACAGACGAATAAGCTGATGATTCAGCTCAACGTCTTCGGTGACCAAACGCGACTCTATAGCCCGGTTTTTCAAGTGCACCTGCAAACGTACATTGCTAGCGAAATATTGGCATATTCTCACAGCAATTGTGTCACAGGCCGAGTTCGAACCGGCGGTAACAAGAATACGACTTCGCGGATATCGAAGTCGCAACTGTAGAATGGCCTCGACAATGATTGTTGTCTTACCGGTGCCTGGCAAAAGCATATACAGATATAGATATTTAGATTAAAGCTGTTACTCAAAAGCAAACCTGGCGGTCCAAATATAATATAGGGCGCTTCTGTACTGGGGCCATCAACGATCTGATCTACTGCCTGCAGCTGCTCCATGTTAGAGACAATGGAAGGGTTAAAGAGAATCACATTAGATGATGACTTCTCCTTGGAAACCACCGTTTGCAGCGTTTTGTTGGGAAACAAATAGCGGCGTAAACAAGGACTCTCTTGCAGCAGCTGCATCGCACGATACATGAAGCGAAACGATGTGCGACGAGAACGCAGAATTACAAAGTAACGTTCTGTGATAGTTAAGTCGCCTCGAACACCTCCTCGTTTGAATTTCAGTTGAATTGATGTGCGTGTCACCTGTTCAACGGTGGCAACATAACGACGCATCGGATTCTTCAATGGCAAAGCTTCGTGCTTGTGCGGTAAAAGTGCCAGAATGGGTTGTGTGGACAGAGGAGATTCTTCCAAGCTAGCCTTGGGTATAAGTACGGCTTCGTCCACATTTGGGACTACCACATCTTCTGCATTGATTTGCGTGTTACCGCGGAGCACAAAACTATAGCATAGTTTGTTGACTTTCCTCAAAAACACATTGGGTTGCATGAGCTGGGCATAAAGTTGCATGTTTGAGACATCCTCTATGCTAATTAGTGTGCTCAACACGGAACAAACATTCTCAGAGTCTAATTGTTGCGTCTCTAGGTAAGTGCGAAAATTTGTACTCTCTACTGCTAGGCTTTCGTCGTCGAAGTCAACGTTCATGGAGTGCAACATGTTTTGACTTGGCTCATAGTGCGGCAATTCGCGCATAATGCCAATCAATCTACAATACAAAACGGTATATTTATATTTGCAATTATCTAACTACATATGAACATAACTACCCACCGTTGAGCTTGCTTTTGTTCCTCATCGTCTGAGCTCAAGATATTTTCCTCATCGTCGCTGCACTTCTTTCGCACGCGTATATTTTTCTTGGTCTGCTCACATTTTACCATGTTGGTCATTTGTGATAATTGTATTTTCATCTGCAACATAATCCAGAGAAAAAACATAGATGACGTAGTAAATTTCACTTGGTTAAGGACACTAATTACCGAGCTCAGTTCTCGTTTTAGGTTGCTCACATTCATTTTGCAATTGACAATTACGTATAGAAAAACACAGATAATACAAAGGAAGAAACGAAGCAAATTTCACACGAAATACACAAAATGTCGATTTCAACTGAAGACGCTGCAAGTACCGTTACAGCCGCCATCTGGACGTAGATCTGAATACAAAGCTTAAATTCGATCGCATTAGATAGCAGATATGTGAATTGCTTTGCAACACTATACTTGAAAGCTAATGTGATCTACAGTCTTTCAACCTCTGACAAGACGAAAACAAACTTTACGAAAATAGCTTAATATAAATAGTTTAATGATAAGCTAACACGTAATTTGTAAAAAATCTTGTCAATTAATAAACTTACTCTTGCGTTCAAAATGCAAACTAAAGTTGGTTGCGCGCCTCGATTTACGTGAAGCTAGCTGCAAATTCATTGGTATGTTAGCCAGCACTACCAATTGTGTTGCTTTGCGACTATGCAAATATATCGATATCGATATCGATATCAATATTATTATTATTTACGTTTTTGTTTGCAATATTATTTTTATTATGATTTTGGAAAAACTTCTTATTGACCAGCGTATGCAAACGCAAAATCTTGTACATATGCTGCAAAACAGAGAATCGGGCTTTACACGTATAAAACTAAGTCAAATGCCTCAACTATCATACGAGCGCCAATTTTACAAAGCAATTACTCCTTGTCTTACCGTTGGAATATCTATCCCTCCTGTTTATCTACGCAAATTTACGCCGGACGGTAGTCAATTGTTGGGGTTCTCTCTTGATCAGCGTTCGTTTATAGGTAATTAAAACACATATTTAAATATTTGCGCATAACAAAGACATAATATATTTATAGTATTCTCATATAAGGGCATCGGCTCAGCCGGCGTAAGTCAGTTGTTCAGTGATGCTGGCGTGGGCAGTAGCGAAACTCTCAGTGGGATACATAGTCAACAGTTAAGAAGTACAGTATTTGAGAAGCTTTTTAAAACGAAATTTGCGATGCGCCTGTGTCAAGGTGAATCGGCACGTTTCTACCTGCACCGAGAGTTTAGTGTTTTCCTCGACAACAGTCGTTATGTGCTTCTTGCCGGGATGTGCGTGCTTCAAGGCTACAATCTGGCTGTCTCTGAATACGAACGCTATCCCGATGTCTTTGACACGGTGGATCCCTTCTCCTATATATTCTATGTGGTGGACCTGCAACAGGGCGTTGTTACGGACGAAGTGCTTTTGCATCAGGAGTCAATTTGCTTATCCCACAATCATGGCATATCAGTGCATGGACATACTATAGCAATCTTATCGCGTTTGCGGCAGTGTATTTATATATATGAACTGGTTGACGGCCGACTTATTAAACAGGAGCACGAAATAGGTCCGAGGCCCCTCCATTGCTGCTTTCAGGATGTTTCGTCAATGTTTATGGTTATGCTGGATGTGAACACCTTGTTGCCAATAACGCACATTAAGCAGCGAGTGCTAAGCTTTCTCTATCGCCAGATCGAAGCAGATTGCCCTCAAGCGAGTCAAAAATATCAGGAGTTCTACAAAAACTTTGAATTCGTGAGAGTCAGTAAGGCTTGCGCCTAATTCAATTCTAAACTGTTTTCACTTTAATAATTTCAGATCGAAAATATGATAATTGAAAAGATGCAGCTAGTGGACAACGATCTGTTATTATTGCGTTATGAAGAACGACCAAAGGACAGCAATGTCCCGCATATCCTGCTGACGAGCGAGCCACAGGCACCGCGACGACTCTATGTCTTTTATAGCATGAACAGCGAGGATGTCTTGGGCGTCTACCATGACGATTCCATCGACCTGTTGCAAATAGTTGTGCAATTCAACGATAAATTGTGTAATGTGCGCTCTCTCCAAACAGGCGATGCACCCTCGTCAGCCTCCTCGCAATTCTTTATGCAGCAGAATTGGAAAAACAGCAGTCAATCGTTGCCTTTCATGCGTCAGGCAGCATTGCGTTACAATCCCACTGTGCCTATCAGCACACAGAGCTTTTCAACGTCGCCATATCTTAATCACAATGTGTTCAACTATGATAATTTATCCATCTCCCCGTTGGAACGTCCCAAAGCCTGTTCTACAGAGCCGATTGTATTTCGGGATCGTGCTACCAATTTAATAAAGTTTCGGTTGAACATCAAGGCGCAAAGGCTACCCGGTCAATTCACTCCACGCGAGCTGTGCGCCTTCATCTGTCATCCGTTCGAGCCCTTGGTAATTAGCATACAGAAATGTATGCATGTTTATTCCTATAAATTACACATTTACAACCACGGAACAATTGTTCAACAGTTTTACAATTAAATGTAAATTTATCTGTCATTCAAGTATATGTATAAAGTGTTAAATATTTTATTATTAAATATTTGTTATAAGTACAACTAATTGTTTTGTGAATTATTTGAAATAATTTTGTTACAGCTGTTACTAATATTTTCTACTGTGTTGTCAATATCGATACTTTTTAAATTTAATTTATCGATACTTGAAGAAAACATTCGCATTACAACATATGTTTTCTGTTTACTGGAAGAGCGTAAGACAATGAGCGTCAATCAACAAGCGGCTAAAGGCAGCAAAATAAAAGCAAATGAAGTTTTAATAGAGGAAATTGATAGTAATGATGTGCCGGAAAACGAGCTAGCACAGTTTGAGGTGACAGAACCATTGCGCATTGTAGAAATAATCGACTTGGACGATGAGGAGGATTCAACACCGGTGTCAAATGAAGCCGCAAAAGCGGCCGATGAAGAAGGCGCCTTAATTAGACGTTATGTGCAGGGCGTGCAGTGTCTTGAATTTCCTGATTTCTGCACCAAGCTTGAGCCTGGCGATGAAGAGGATGACGACGAGGCGGAACACTTGGCAGCCAAAAAGAAGTATGAGGAGCCAGAAGAACCCAGCACGAGTGCCGCTGCAACTGCTAAGCAATTAGCACCGCCGAAGACGCAGTCTAAGAGCTCGTTTGGAGGTCGCGCCGGAGCTGGTGGAAGCTTGGGACGCCGCAGTCAATTAAGCGCCGCATTGATGGGCCTCATGGGCGAGGCGAATCTCTCGTTTGCCTACGGACGTTTTGATGTGGCCGAACGAATTTGCATGGAAATCATACGTCAAAATCCTCTGGCCAGTGAACCCTTCTACACGCTAGCTGAGATTTATGAAAATCGCGATGAGGTTAAGTTCTTGCATTTCTCTACAATAGCGGCGCATCTAAATCCGCAGGACCGCGATATGTGGATACGTATTTCTGATTTGCTGGTGCAACAAGGCCATTTGGCACGTGCCCGTGCGTGCTATACCAAGGCCATCAAGGTGCTGCCCAAGGAGTATCTGTTGCGACTGCGCAAGGCGCAGCTGTTAGAGCGCATGGGCGAGACAAATGCAGCTATGTTTACCTATCTGAAAATGCTGCCACTGATGCCCGCGAGCGAGTGGAGCTTGTGCCTCAGCACGGGCAAGAATGTGGCACGCTACTTCCATGAGCTGGAGAAGCACAGCATTGCACTGGAGGCCATGGAGGGCACGTACGGAGTGTGCGGTGCGCGCTTCACAAACGAAGATCTCAACATCTATCTCGAACTGCTCATACTCAATAAGCAGTATACGAAGGTGCTACGATGTCTACGAGAGCGCACCAATCTGGAGCTGGAAACGGAGCAGGAGAGTCTGGAGCTCATCTACTTTTGCCAAATACCCGATGACTATGTGCCCGAGTTGCGTGCCAAGCTTTGTGTCAGCTTGATCCACATGCACGCACACCACCTGCTCGGCTACATTGTGCAGAATATACAGGAGTATATAACGCCCACTGTAGATCGTGTGGAGCTATATATGGACATTACCGAGGCGCTGATGCAGGAGCACAAATATGCGGAGGCCATTGCCCTAATGCGTCCCATTACAGATTCCGATTCTTTCGATTGTCCCGCGTTCGTTTGGCTGCGCCAGGCCGAGTGCTTGCGTCAACTGAATCGCACACAGGAGGCCATCCAGAGCTATGGGCGCGTCGTGCAACTGGCCCCGTACTGCTACGAGGCAAAGTTTACGCTGTCGGCGCTGCTCAAGCAGCAAGGCAGACCCGAGGAGGCAGTCAAGGCTCTGGAGCAATCCGGCGAGCAGGAGGGACAGCCACTGCATGCGCGTCTACTTTACGAACGCTGTATCATGCTGCAGCAGATCAATCGAATCGATGAATTCCTCGACGTGGGCTATGTGCTGCTCAGTCGGCATTCTATAAAGCTCAAGAATCGCGAGGAGATGATGGCTGCTTCGAATGGCGGCGGCGCCTACAACACCGAAGGCCTCAAGGTCATCATACAAATGCGTAACATGGCTGATGTATCAGGAGGCGCAGAAGCCGAGCAGCAGGTGGGTATTTGCAAGTATTTTACTTCAATTCAATTTCATTGAAAAAATCCTTATCGACAGGAATCACAGAAAGCTTCTGCAACGGCCAATGCAGAGGGCTCCGATCTAACCATTAAGAACGAGTACGAGCTGTTTCTGGAACTGGTGCGCACTGCGCATGCGCATCGTTTGCACAGCGCCGTTGAGCGCATTTGCTTCGCCATGGTGACCACCAGACGGTTCACTTACTATCACTACGAGATCGAACGCATAATGATACTGGGCTGTTATTTCAATCGTGATTGCGCCATTAGCTTTTCGTACCTGCGCGAGCTGATTGCCAAGCGGCCGGACATGCTCAATTTGTGGAACATGCTATCGCTGATGGTGCAGCAGGGCGACGAGGTGCGCTACTTTCGCTATGCACGACGGCTGCTGCAGCGTCATCCCAAAGTCACCCAGCCCATGCGCCTCTTCTTGGGTCACTATCATCTCAATTGTAGCTCGTACAAGTATGCGCTTAATGTTTATGTGCCGATATTGCGGGAACAGCCGCATCCGTTGGTCGCTCTCTCCATAGCCGTGGTCTTCAATCAGCTGGCGCTGCAGAAGAAGGTGCTGCGTAAATCGGCAGCTGTCGCGCAGGCGGTGGCCTTTGCTTTGCGCTATGCGGAATTGCGTGGCGGCAGCAGCGATAAGGGCAACGATGTTCCAGATACATGTGCTGCCCAGCAGGAGATCTACTACAATATTGGACGCATCTATCATCAGGCAAATATACTGCATCTTGCCATTGATTATTATGAGCGGTCGTTAGCCGCGCAGCATCCGCTGATAAAGGCGCACGAATCGGTTCTGGGACTGCAGCATGAGGCGGCGTTCAATCTGCATCTTATATACCGTGTCAGCGGAAACAAGTGGAAGGCGCGGCAGTGTCTAATGCGTTATTGTGTTGTCTAAGAATTAAGAGTTAGTTTTAGTGTTTCAATTTCATATTAAAATTGACAACAATATTAAAAGTATTCAAATACGAAAATAAATTCATAATTCTGTTAAAAAGGGCTTAATTAACATTTTGCTGCTAATCAGCGTACTAGCCTTACAGCCAACAATAAGTGTAAAGGTATCGATACTAGGTAGTATCGATAATGGTGCTATCGATGCATCCATTGTTTGGGAGTGGGAGAGAGGCGAAGTTTGTTTCGCGTAATTTTTTCTGGTTTTCATGGCTGCAAAATGCAGAACTCCAAGGCCAAAATGGACGAATTTAAGACCAGGTTCATGGACCTGCTGCACAAACAGGTAGGCGCAACAAGCATCCCATCTAACGGCCATAACAAAGCTTTCTCTTTCGCAGACGAATCGACAAATGAAAATTCCAGCAATGGGCTTTTCCGATTATTTCATACAGACCGTCACAACGGATAACTTGGCCACCACAACTAAAACAGCAGCTACAGCAACAGCAGCAGCAGAAAATACGGAAACAGATGCTGCAGATGGAGTACAAAAATCGGATCAGGAAATTCTGGAGAGCATCGAAGAGTGCTACTACAGCGCCGATAGCAATCCAGAGCTTTACGAACTTAAGGTAGGCATTGACATAGCCACAAATTCATTAACATCTAATTGTGAGTCACATTTTATAGAAAGTACTTGGCAATGGCATTGATAACCAGCTTATTGAGACCACCATTGCACAGCTGCGAACTCAGCAAAAGGTGCTGACCAAGCAGGTGCTGCAGAACATATTGGAACAACGCAATGCGTGCAGCAGCGAGTTTCAGGCCATCAATGAGACGCAAAAGAAACTGGAAGAATCGCTGTGGACATGTCAAAAGGCGCGTTCCTATTTAAACTATGCACGCACAAATCTAACGACGACCAGCTTAGAGATCTTGGCCAGTTATCGCAAGCGCGAGGTGCTTAAGGAAGTTCTAGACACGCTGATGGCCATAAAGAAGTTGGTAAGTGGAGATGAAATGGTTGGTTGATTCATTTATTAATACGTACCCTTGCAGCGCACCACGGATGAGGAGCTGCAAAAACTGTTGGCAGACCACAACTATTCCGCAGCCATTGAGCTGTTGCTGCAGTGCCAAAGCTCTGCGGCAGGCTTCATGCAATACAATTGCGTGCAGTCGCTGCACAAGAAGCTGCAGGAGACAATGCTCTTAATGGAGTATCAGCTGGACACCGTGCTGAACGAAATGGTGCTGAATTTTGATATACGCAAATATGCCAAGCTGCAGGAGGCATACAAGCTGGCCAACAAGTCGCTGATTGCCATGGATCAGTTGCACATCAACTACATCTCGGCGGTGCACACGATGGTCAATGCAGTGGTGCGCGGTTACAGCGAGCCCAATGCGGAGGAGCAACCCAAGCTACTGTACGAGCAGCTGTGTGAACAACTTAGTGCGGACAAGCTTATTCCTTGCTTGATCAGCTTGTGCAAGACGTTTTGGACGATACTGGCCTCCTACTATCAGGTGGTCATGTGGCACAACAATTACAAGCTATACACACAGCAAGAGGAGAGCGATGGCGAATCACCCGATCTTTATATACAACAAAAATTAAAGAAGGGCCAGTCGCGTATCTGGAACGATATACTTAACAAAGTTTGCCTCTTTCTGCAGAGCGCTAAGCTGACGACGCTCAAGTATGATCAATTTATACAGGTGCTGTCCATAGTGCAGCGTCTGAAGAAGGTGGGCGTGGAGTTTTGCAGCGAGCAGTCAGAGAAGCTAATTGCAACTATGCAGCAGCAGAGCGAGGAGTTCTTCAGACGTTATCACATATGTTGCGTTGAGGAGATCTGCTTGTTCTTGGACAATGAGTCCTGGACGCCGTTGGACTCATTTTCGCACATACTGCAACTGCCGGTAGCTTGAAACTGAATGCCAATAATTAAACAATTATTAATATTATGTATTATACAGGAATTCCGATCGGTGCGACATACGCTTCGTCGTCATAAATCACCAACGACTGCGCTGCTAGCCTCAAACAATAACTCGCCCATTAGCAACAACAACTGCGACGAGCTGGTTTCTGTACACTCACAGGATGGTGGCGGCAGCTCAATTTACGGTTCCTATGGCTACTTTTTGCGCTTCTCGGAGAAGAGTTCGCCCTTCGATGGTGGTCTCGATGCTGCCATGCTGGAGGAGGACATACTGTCAGGCATAGTGGACGAAGCGTCTTGCTACTTTAGCGAGGAAAGTGACGACGAACAAAAGAGTCTGCAGAGCAAAGAGTTTGCCGAAGATGCCAACAAGTAAGTACCAAGCGAACGCCTTTGCTCGACTAATTTAATTAAAAACTAAATTCATGACCTTCGTCAGTCAACTACTTGTGAATAACACAGCTCTGAATGTGTTGCGCTGCATTGGACGCTATCTGCAGATGTGCAAGCTGCTGCACTGCATCTCCCCGAAGATAGTGTCGTGTATGCTGGAGCTGCTTGACTTTTATGCCTATGCGGTGCATGAAATCTTTGGCAAGGATGCGGTATGTAATGCTATGACATCGTAGATCACCATTTAATCAATTTAATCGATCGCAGCTGGTGCCCACGGATAATCTCTATACGCCGCGTCTTGAGCAGCGTCTGCGTGCCGTAGAAACCAACGTGCTTACGCAGATCAAAGTTTGGCCCTTAAACTTTTCATCTTTGGTGGGAAATGAAGTGAAATTGCTCACATTAGTTGACTATAAAAATTAAATGCATTTGCAGATCAACAATGAACTGGCCAATCCGGACACGCTGTACGGTCTGCCACAACGCATTGTGGCTATTGAGGCTGGGCGCAGCATGTTTCAACAATTTAATGTGCTGCAGCACTATTTGAATCATTTATTGCCTGCTGCCGAACGACCAACTCTAATCAACTATTTCGAATATGGAGAATTCATTGCTGATCTGGCCAAACCAGTTTACACATGCGTCTCATCGCGCGTCATCGATCTGTCGGCCATACTAGCACAAATGGCCAAGGTCAAGTGGGATGTGAATCATGTGACGCATCAGCACAGCAGCTACAGTGACGTCTTAAACCGCGTAAGTGAAAGTGAATGGGAAAAAGAATCTTTTTTTAAGGAAATCTAACATTCTCTATTATAGAATATACAGAGCTTCGCCATGTGCCTGGAGGAAATCTCCAAGGAAGTAACCATACCCAGCAAACATGTTTGGAACGCGATGGCACATGTGTCGACACATTTGCTAGTAGAGGGGTAATTTATTTATTATATTGTTTATGCATTTGCAACGCTGATACAATTTTATTTCTTTCGTCAATAGCTTCTCGAATGTTAAGAAATGTTCAGCTGGCGGCCGTGCCCTCATGCAATTGGATTTTGCCAATTTTATGTCGTTTCTTGAACTAATCTCGAACCAGAAATATCCGGAACATCGCGCTTACGTGGATGTCTTTATAAAGTCGTATTATTTTTCGCCCGAACAGTTCGAGCAATGGATCGAACAGCAGCGACAGGGCGATGAATATTCAGCTAGGCAATTGTCAAATCTGATACAATGCATTTGTGTCAGCGATAAGCGCACACGACAGAGGCTGCTGCAGCTGCTGGAGGGCGTATCAGCTAGTGTTACGCCAACCACAACGCCGCACAAGAATAACTATAACTCCGGCTCAAATCTGAGCAATGTTATTTAAATTCTTTCATTTGTATTGTGTATCGTATTTATTTTGTTATATATAATTGTAATCAATCGCTAACTATGTGGTCGAACCTGTGTTAGTAGTTGAACTCTCAAGAACTCTATATATATTTATATTGGACATTCCGTTAGTGCAAATTGATTAACACTTATCTGTAAGTTGATTGTATTTTAGTTACATAAGCGATCTCCATGATGTACTTCGTATTGAATTTCGAATCTGTGTATAACTTGAAATCTCCTGTTCAATCTCTATTCAAGTGCAATACGCTCTCTATTTACTTAGCCAATGCACAAATTTACTGATTCATTTATATTGGTTTATATTCAAATGACTTAAGTACCTAGAGAAAATATATATACACATTCATACACATATATCGCGAACTAGATTTAAGGCATAAGCAAAATCAATATATACACATATTTATTTTAATACCCAAAATTAATGTTTATTTGCGAAACGGACAAATAATTGTAATAAAACGCGATTATGCATATACTTAAAATAAAAACGAACCGCAATCGCCCGATTTGTGGGTCACTAACACAAAAACAAACATTCATACCTAGTGGTAAATGGATTTGTAACTAAAACAACTAATAAAGAGTACATATTTTGAGATATGAATATTAAACGAATCAATTTTAATAAAGAAAACTCGCAGTGTAAAGGGATATTAAATTAAGTAGATTAGATTAGTGTAGAGTATGTTTATACTTACGAACTAAACCAATTGTTGGCTTGCTCTATTTAATTATTATATCCGCAATGATATTTCTTCTAGTCATCAGCCATTATAAGGTTGTAAGTTACTGTAAGCCTCCATACAATGAGAAACCGAATATTAACAATTCTTTTCCATTATAGCCGCTTTCGATTGTGGGGTGTGACTATTTCGGAAGCGAACTCCCCTTTGTCAATGAGTCAGCAACAAGTTTCAAAGGCTAAGAAGTCTTTAAATATGCTGCAAGCCGCTGGCTAGTTGACATATCCCAAACATGTGTAGAATAAACTCGTATATAGTATTGCTGATGTGCATAATGTCGGGCAGCACAGCTAAAGACTTCATAGGGCAGCTGCTGCTGGAGTCGAAATCTTCATTGCTGCTGATACGCTACGACTATTGCCCAGAGGACTGGCTGCAGGAGCTCATTGCGACGCCTCAGCTGCCTGTAGTGCTGCAATCGTTGCACAGTGCCACGCCTCCAAGCAAACATTTCTCGAAGCTGATGCAGTTAATCTGCTTGCCAAGCGAGGATTATGGGCTGCTACCCAAGTTACTAGCGAATATACGTGGACCCAAAAGCATCTTTTATATAGCAGCTCCTTCGGTCAACAGCTCGTCTAAGCAGGTGCTTTACTCCTTGCTGAGGGAATGCTATAGACAGAAAATATTGAATGTTGTGGCTTTGCTGGCTGAGAATGCAGGTCGAGTCTATTATCGCTATCGTCCATATCCTCGCTTTGAGCTGGAGCAACGTTCGCTGGAGCAGCGTCCCTTCTTTGTGAGCCACTTGAGGAATATGCATGGCCAGCCGCTGATCGTGCTGCCCGATCAGAAGCATCCACGCACCATCGTCTATACGGACTGGCGGACTGGGAAGCAAGTGCTGGCCGGCTCGGTGGGTCGCTTTGTGCGCACCTTGGCCTGGAAGCTAAATGCAACCATCCAGTTTCCCATAGAGATCAAGCCGGGCGCGGTTATGCATTTTACTGAGCTGCAGTCGCTAATCGACAAGTTCCAAGTCGACATGGCAGCGACTGTGGTGCAGCTCATACGGCCAGAGCAGCTGCCACTCAGCAGCTTCCCCTTTGAGCTGAGCCACATCTGCATGATGATTCCACTGGCTCAGCAGCTGCCCATTAAGGATATCTACCTCGTCTTGGCCAATGCGCAACATATACTCATCGGATTGGCTATAGTATATAGTTTTGGCCTTCTGCTCAGCCTGCACTGGTGGCTGACTGGACAAGCTGCTAGCTTGGTGGATTTCCTGCTGAACGATGTGGCGTTGCGTGGTCTGCTCGGCCAATCCTTTGGCCGCTTCCCGCATACTAGCATAAATGCCAGATGGATTTATTTGCTGTTGGCTGTGCTGGGACTCAACTTGAGCTCGATACATGAGGCAGCGCTTGGCACTGTTCTAACCCATCCGCCCAAATACTTTCAGCCACGCAGCTTTGCCGATGTCCAACGAGCGCACCTGCCGCTGGTCATCGACGCCGGGGACTTGGATAGTGACTACGACTTAGGTGCAACGCAGCTGCGCGTGCTGGCCTGGAACAGCAGCGACTTCAATAGCCACAGAGACAAAATGAACATGAGCTACGTCTACTTCGCCTCTCGGCTCAAATGGACGCTGCTGAGCGAGCAGCAAAAGTATTTTCCACGCGAGGTGTTCCTTTACTCGATGAACGCCTGCGTTAGGACACTCACGTACATGGTCTTTCAGCTGCCTACTAACACCTGGTTCCTGGAGCCCCTGACCCGATTGATTATGGATGTGCGTGATTTCGGCATATTTCAGCATTGGGTCGATCTGCATTTCTATGACATGGCTGCGGCGGGCTTGTTATCCTTCAGTGATCCCATTCAGCGCGAGCCACAACGCCTGAAGGATGCGCTTCGCTTGGACGATCTGCAATGGATCTGGGTCGCGTATGGAGCACTTCTGCTGCTGGCTACAATTGTATTGGCCCTGGAAGTTCTTGCCAAGAGAGTGCAACAACTGCTGGGCACGTCTTGAAGAGGGGTGAAGAGAGGTTCGAGGGTTCTTCGAGTTGTGTTCGCTTAAATTCGTTTATTGTTTATTGATTAGCAGTAAGTAAGACAAGAATATTAAGTCGGATTGAACATGATCTATGGGAGTACATGTGAGTGAGGCAAGTGCAGGTTTCAAGTATATTTAAGTGTTACATCAGAGTCTGAGTTCGTTGTGCCTTAGGCCACATTGGTGTGCTCGTCGCGATGGAAGATCTTCACATCGAAGAACTTGAAGTTGTCCACCATGAAGTAGTAGTCGTGCTTGACTGGGCGATTGAAGGGGAAGCCGAAGGGTAGGGCATCCACATAGCGTGAACCATGGCCAATACCGCAGCTGACAACGGGATCGTAGCCAGCGTATTGGGCGATAACGGGCTCATGGTATGGATAGACCATGTAGAAGAACTGATAGACCTGACCGCCCTTCTTGCCCTTGGGCAACATCATGCGATTGGGTACGCCGCAGTGCGATTCCGATTGATCCAGCTTGAATTTGTAGTCACTGTTGGTGGCATCCATCAGTTTCTGGTAGAGCTCGAAGTAGGTGGTGCGATCGTTCACCCAGAAACTGAAGTCGCCGCTGGCGCGCTTGATGTGGTTGACGCCAGCTTCCAGCTGTACCTTGAAGTGCTCCAGCTCGAAGAAGTTCTGATAGTTGTGATCCAATGGGATGACATGGCCGAACTCGTCGTATTTGGGTCCAATGAACACCTTGACAACGGCAGCCTGTGCCTTGTCCGAGCTGACGTCCATGGTGAACTCGAAGGGCTTATGGTTGAGACGATGCTGGCGGGCTTTGATCACAAAGCTGCTGCCATTGTAGAAGGAGTTGCGGCCAAACATATGGTGGACATCGCCAGCGGGCACCGCGGAGTGCTCAACATTCACGGCATTGCTAATATCGGCATCGAAGTACTCGAAGTAGGTGGTCAAACTCTCGGGCATGTGGACATCGTCAATTTTAACACCCTCGAAGCCATAGTCAACCTTGGTGTACTCGGGGAAGGTGTCCATCATATGCCAGTAGTGGCTGAGCAGGTTCTTGTACACCTCGTAGAACAGCGGATCGCGCAAGGAGGTGTCGTAGTGCATGAAGCTGCCGGGGTACGTTTCGTGGTACTTACCGTGCGGCTGTCCCTCGTTCACAATGTAGCGGAACCACTTGTCCAGGCTGCCATAGAACTGTTTGTCAATGCTGTCAGCATTGCCCTGCAGCATATTGCCGAGTATATTGACGGCATCGACATCGCATCTGTTGTTCTTGTGAATCCAGTCCATGATGCGCTGCGAGTACAGCTCCACGTTCTTCACATACTCCAGGTTGTCGGGCGTGTAGAAGTTGTAGTAGTTGGGGCGACTGGGATAGGGTACGCCGTTGTAGTCGCGTATGCCGCTGTAGAAGCCAGCGTGCACAGGTTCGTACATGTTGAACTCGGGCACCTCACCCATATCGTTGGACAGACGCTCCATGTAGTAGCGCGCCAATAGCTGCCAGTGCACATAGAGATACAGCTCACCGCGACGATCCTTGTTCAAGACATGCACCTCATCGCCCTTGGTCCAGTAGGGATAGTCCAGGTTGAAGTAGTAGTAGAAGCTGTTGAAGCCAATGTCCTCCAAGTAGTAGGCCAGACTGTGTTCATAGTTCATGTCGCCATAGAAGTTCGTGTAGTTCGACTTGAGCACCACATTGTAGACATTGTTCAGCTGCTTGACGTGATGGAAGCCGTGCATCTTGTAGTGCTCAGCCATCTCGAGGGTCTCCCCGTCAAAGAAGCTCCAGGGATGAATCTCATATTGAGCCGGGAACACAATGCCCTGCATATCGTCGCGGAACAGGCTGGCAATGGTGAAGGCATAGACGAAGAGCTGCTTGTTCACATGCTGGCGGGCCCAGAAGACGACATGCTGGAAGGTCTCCCAGTTTTTGGCGTAGAAGAAGAGACGCACCAGACCAACGGCATATTCCTCATGCAGGTCGTACATGATGGTCCACATGTGATCGTCGCCGAACGGATGATGCTGCCAGAGCTCAAAGAAATGCTGCAGCTTCTCAGCCTTATGATAGTCGCTGACATGTTCCCAGGGCTTGTATTCATAGAAGCTGGTATCGTACTTCGTCACGAAGACATCATCCTGATAGATATGCTGCAGCATCTCGAAGACGAACTTCTGCTTCACCAGGAAATCCTTGTCAGCCACCTTGGACTCGACATGCTTGCCTTGGCTGCCAAGCGCCAGGAGCGTTAGCGTCAACACAATAAGCGCCGTGATCGACTTCATCGTAATCATGCCGATGCACTGGCAGTGCAGCCTCCATTTATACCTGAGCAGCGGCACATAGTCATGGAGACATGGGGGCCAACGTCCGAGTGCTGATATTGCCTTGACATTATCAGAGATCCGTTCAACCTTAACGTAAGCTGCACTTGGCATTGAGATAAGGCCCATTGCACCTGTGCCTGACTGACAGCTCTAAGGTGATCGCTTAGGAGGCTCGGCTGTCATCGAACAGTTGTGTAAGCGATTCCAATTGATGGACAGCGCTTACATCGCCTAGTAACACCTGCCGATTGCATCTCAAAGCCGAGATGTGACTTGCTTCTCTTTCTTTCATACGACATCACCTGAGGGTCAATCATGATGCTTTGTTGCTTATCAATGCGATGTTGCCATCGGCCTTAGCTAAGTCTAAAAATATGCAGCTACTGAGGCGTACATGTCGAAATGCAAAACAATAATCATATCAGTAGACAACAAAGACAAGTGGAACTGCAAGAGCAGCGGGTGTCGTAGGATTAGAGGCTATATAGTCATAAAATAAAGCTCAAATATGATTTATTCGTCGAGCATATTTGAGATATGTGCCTTGCAGTACGGCAGAGCTCTCGTTTATAGAAAGACAAAGAGGAAACTTACGTCTATAGAAGCAGAGCTCAGTGATCTCTTAGTTTGCATAGACATTCATATTGAAACTTTGTTTCGATCTATACCTCTGTGTCTTAAGCCTGCCTCCAGCGCTCTGTGGCATAAGCAACGAGCTCAGCAACAAAGGCTAGCAGACAAACATTGACATTGAAAACGTAGATCAGCCAATGATAGTAGAGATCGTCCCAGCGCAGATGCAAGTTGTTCGAGATGTCCTTGTAGGGCAGCTGCTTAGTTTTGCCAATCGAAACGAGCTCATAAAAGGAGCGAGTGCGCCAGTAGGCTTGCAGGCCGCTGGCATGAACATTTAGAATATAGCGATTGAGGGACGGCCTGTAGATGGAGTCGGAGGGTAAGGGCATACCAAAGGCCACAGACATTATGAGTGTCATTTCGTCGGAAAGGCGAAAGCTGGCCTGTTGCTGCCTGGCGAACTTCATCTTGATATGGGGCCAGAGCGTTTGGGTTATTGGATAGGCATAAGAAGTGTTTGGCAGACTGCGCATGGTCTGAAGAAACGAACTGTTTACCACCTCATAAATATCCTCATTGGCGTCAAAATCACGCTGGCCTAGAGCAAAGATAATGGCCGACTGGTCGCCTCCTGTTAGCATCAGCTTGAGTCCTGCTCTGCGCATATCCTGATAACTGCGTATCGGTGGATCGAAAGGCGGATGCACCAATAGCGTCTCCAGATTCGTTAAGTAATGGTTGTATAATATAAAACTGCCAATCAGCAGCACTGCGAATATCCACCTGAGAAGCAAACTGGAAAGTCGCGGCATCAAAAACGTTTGACAAAGTATGGCTCTTAGCACGGGATCATAGATGACCCAGAAGCACATGATGCTGGGTGCCAGGCCCTGCTCGAAGCGACGTATGTTGTGAATTACCAAGGCGTAGATGGCCATTACAATGAAGATACCCAAATTGAGGAACTTAGATCCTCCACACAGGACGAGCTCGGCGCGACTCATCTGCGACTCAACAGGCAGCATTACCTGCCACCTCGATAGCTCCAGGACATGGCTATAATTTTGATAACTGGGAGTGAAGCCGAGGTTTACCATGAACGAGGGTATATCCACTTTTCCAGTTTGCAACGATTGCATTAGTAAACTTAAGCTAACTATTTCATTCTCCTCAGGTCTATGCTCCCAGTAAAATTGAAGAGTTGCATTTAAGGTTCTGGCAAAGTTCTCAACAAAGGGCGCCAGATAGCCCGTTAGTTGGTAGGATCCATCTCTATCCTTGTATATAACACTTCGTGGGTATATATTGTCCGATATCGTGGTGATAGGATAGCCACCCATATCCTTCAGTTGTGGCTCGAAGTAGCGTTCGATCTGATCAACGTTTCGCAGGATAAGTTTGAATTCCGGAAACGCACGATAACTGTATATTTGTTCCAGACTCCAATTCCCTATGGCCAGTACATTCAGCATCTTGTTCTCGAAGCACTTCTTGAACAAAGCTGTCACATCGATTCCATTGCCAATCATAAATATAGTTGCAGTATTTCTAATTGTTTGCAGATTGTGGTAGAGAGCATCTAATAGGAAATCGTTTTGAGTTTCGAGGCAAACTAGCGCTAGAAACTGTGCTTTAAATTGGGTTTGAAGTTGATATCTTTGATTGGCATTAAGTTGGATAAACGGCGTAGCAGAATTTCCATTCATATCAATCGAACAATCCGTGGAATTTTCATTCAAAAAAAGAATGGTCTCAAAGGCCAGCTCGACTTTTAATTTGTTTAACACTCTGTTGGGTAGTTGCATTTGTGCCCTAATTAAGCAGGCTAAAAGCCCTAAATAAATTATAACTTTTTCCCACATTATAATGTCCTTTGCGAACGTTAACGCCGAGTCCAACTGGTTAAAATCGCCACCAATTACTCCTTATATTAGAAAACCGAACTGAAACGGTCAGTCTAATTAAATGTAATTACAGATTTGTATCATAGCAATTAATGTATGCGTCGTAAACGGCTAGTTTTTGTTTTCAGTTTCCAATAGGTAAACAAACACATTTAACGATTTGTAGATGTTTTTTAAAAGCTCATCTGAATTAAAAATGAGCTAAAATCAATCAGCAGCAGAACGTAAAAATGGTCAAACATGCAATACATATTCAAGAAATATTCATCTACAATCAAAGTATTTTATAATGTTGCACCTGTTGTCCTAATTTCTGATTTTACAATTTAAAAAGACCGCCTTACCTTACGATTTTTTCTCGATAAATTAACAATATAGTTATCGTAACAATATCAGTAGCGCAGCTAAAAACGTACTGCGATGTGGCATTGCTGCGCTTTGGAAATGTGGTCACACTTGTGTAACCAATGCAAAGTAAAATAAAAAAGCGTGGAAGTAAGACCAGCCGAACCGCTTGCGAATTATAAACATATTTATAAGAATCCGAGTGACGACATTACAAAAAAAAAAAAGTAACATATAGGGCAATTGGAAATTCTCGACAAAAAAGTGAATTTGAGTTTAATGGTAATTGCCGAACATGATGATCAAACAGGGTGTCGGCAACGTGAAATTGGCACAGAACAATAACTTAAACCTTGTTGCTGTAGTTGTGTAATATTTTGAATCGTGCGAATGGCAGAAAACAGCAACAAACACAATGAAACATCGCCTGATATCGCAAAATTGCGTGTATATGCGTTTGGATGACAGTGTGTGTGTGTGTGTGCCTGTGCGTATATCGCGTGTGTATGAGAGAAATTTGAATTGCGCTGTTCAAATTGAAAAAAGAGCGAGTGAGCGTTGACAGTTACATTTATTTATTTTATGTTTGACATTAATAAAGCGTGCATTTAATTTTCGGCATGATTATTTACAAATCTTATTGTACTCTTTTCCTTATACTTTTAGGCGTAAATTGAGAAACCAAAGTATTTCTCATGCGCAACTAAACAACAATAACAAACACAAAGATACATACAGAGTAGACAGTGATTCGGAAATTCAAAATTACACACATTAAAGAATTTTGGAATTGGACTGGCAGCCGAAGGACCAAATAGCGCCCCCACCCAGCAATTAAAACACTAAGCTAACAAAATGAATGTGCTACTGCTGCCCAAAGGATCGCAACTGAAGTCGAATTATGCGGTCCATAACATCTATAAGCGCTGTAAGTTTTTTTCTTAACACGCAACGATATGAAAATCGTATAAAACTTTCCATCGATTTTACCCCATATATTCGCGGTTCGAGTGTGTGTTTGCCTGTGCTAATGTGTGTGTGCTTGAGTGTGTTTCCGTGAGCTCAGGTAACGGTGCATGAGTATGTGTGTTTTTGGTACGCGTGTCTTTAGTCGTTGCTTTTGTTATGACTGCATATTCGTACACAGCTGATTCAATGTTTGCGTGCACAATAAAATTTCCCTGTTGCTCTTGTTTTGGTATTTTTGTATAAGCTGAAGGGAAATTGTCTGGATAATTTCAAACACCAAATGTATTTTATTTTAAACGATTTATTTTTAGTTGCGGTCATTTAATTGACTGTCAACAAGTTTGCTTATGACTTAAGTGTGCAATATATATGTATATGAAGTACATGTATAATATAGTTTACTATTGTTGCCGGTGCATATGCCAATCTGCTATTATTCTTGCGTATCGTTATCGTCTCTTATATAATTTTGCATTTTTTATTATTTTTTTACTGAGACGCGTCACTCGAACCGCTTATCAACTACTTAACGAACGAGATTGACCAAAAAAGTAAATATTTAAACTGACTGGCTAATATAACTGCCAAGCGATAAGGCTTAAAGAACAATTGGAAACAATTTCTCTTGGTTTTAAATGAGCGAAATATTCATTATTTATTTATACTAAATATACGATAATTCTTCATTGTTTGCAACAGAATTAGTCTATATTTGCTCATCGCTCAATTTATACACAAAGTTCACAATAAAAGTGTATGCATACGAACACAAGCATGTGTGTGTAACAAGAAAAAGGGACAAGTGCCAAGCGCACAGGTGTACAGACAGACAAAATGACGCCTGCGACTGATGCTGACGCACAAGTAAGAGACCCTGTATTTTTTGTCGAAATAGAGTACAGTTTTCTCTCACACGCACACACACACAGTCGGGTCAGATGCACCCACACAATTTGCTCGGCCATTGCCCGAAGGTTGAATGCATTTCGCTTTCGCATTTTGCCTTTCTTCTCTTTATTTACACACACACGCAGCATGTTTTTTGCCTTGAATTCGCATCTGCTTCATTGTTCTGCGAACTTGCCAAATATATAAATTGTCAGATAAATCACAAATACAAAAATGAAAATGCATTACATTGTTTTTCTAAGATATCTTGTAGGTCTTCTCGTTAAGTTTAGTTTGTACCTTATATAAATCTTTTTTTACGTGTTCTCGACCGCAACAGGTGTTAATTTAGTTGTTTTTGTTTTCTCTTTCTCTCTCTCTCTCTCTGTGTCTCTTTGGTACTGCTCGACTTGTCAACTTATATTGGCTTATAATCAAGTGGAGCTAACGTTTAGATTATCGCTTGACAAGTTTTCGGTTCGATCATAAAAGGTTTATTTTTTTAAAAATTGTTTTTTGTCTCTGTTCTTCGCATTAGCTTGGTGTGCACTCGATATCGGTCACCTCACTAAATCTGTATTATATATATAATATGATCATAAGCGATAGATCACTCTACTAAAACTGGCAAACTTTGCTTAACACTTACAGATCTCAGAACGAGCCACAATGCGTATTATACAACGAGAAAAGTCCAGCACAAAGCGGAGGAGTCAGTTTCTTCACAGTCATGGAACTTCCGGCAAAGGAGAACGTTTGCTGGCTACTCACTGAGCACCAGCCCGCGTAATTATTATCAATCAAATCAGCTATGCAGTATTGGCTTGCGGCATATTCATATCGATAGCCCACTGTTTGATTCGAGCTCAAAGATTGATGCCACTGTGAAGAAACTGAAGAATCAGCAAAAGGAGAAGGTCGAGGAGATCATGAAGGAGGTGGCCAATGGACAGGCTACTAAAGGTACTGGGTCGGCTACCTCGGTGGCCTCCACGATTCTCGACAGTACCGCTGTAGACCCAAGCACAACAGCAAAAGCAACAGCCTCTGGCACTAAGACGGCTGCTGAACAAACAGAGGCTACATCCAAAGCTGTGGCCAAACCGAAAAAGCCGCTTCGTCAACGTATTTGGGATGAACTGGTACATTATTATCATGGATTTCGGTTATTATTTATTGATACCGCCATTAGCTCAAAGCTGGTTTGGAAGGTTCTCAACGGCAAGACACTGACGCGCCGCGAAAATAAACAGCTGCAGCGCACAACCTCGGATCTATTCCGATTGATACCGTTCTCAGTGTTCATTGTGGTACCATTTATGGAACTGCTTTTGCCGCTGTTTATTAAATTCTTTCCGGGAATGCTGCCATCCACATTTCAAACGGCCAAGGACCGCCAGGAGCGTCTAAGACAGTCGCTGACTGTACGTTTAGAGGTTGCTAAATTCTTGCAGAAAACTCTCGGCCAAATGCCTGTCCAGCACAAGGAACATAGCAGCGAGGAAGCCAAACAGTTTGAGGCATTCTTTCGAAAGATTCGTGATCCCTCAGAGCATGTGAGCACCGATGAGATAATCAAGTTTGCCAAACGTTTCGATGATGAGATCACTCTGGATTCGCTCAGCCGAGAGCAGCTAGCTGCGCTCTGCCGCGTACTGGAGCTGAATACGATTGGCACAACGACCTTATTGCGCTTTCAACTGCGTCTTAAGCTTCGCTCTTTGGCTACCGACGATCGTGTTATATCGCGCGAAGGTGTCGACTCGCTCGATCTGTTCGAGTTGCAGCAGGCGTGCAAGGCACGTGGCATGCGTGCCTATGGCTTAACGGCGGAGCGCTTGCGATTCCAATTGAAGGAATGGATTGATTTATCGCTAAATGAACAGGTAAAGGCACAAGTATTACATAATGAACTATAAATTAACAATTTATGAGTTGTTTTTAGGTACCGCCTACGCTTTTGTTATTATCACGTGCGATGCTCATCTCTGATGACAGCATTACAACTGATAAGCTTAAGGAAACAATGCGTGTGCTACCGGATGCTGTAGCAGCACATACACGTCATGCGATTGGCGAGCGTGAGGGCAAGGTAGATAACAAGACAAAGATTGAGATCATTAAGGAGGAGGAACGTAAGATTCGTGAAGAACGTGAAGAAGAGCACGAGGAGACGCGGCGCACCGCCATCACGGAGGACTCTGCACCTCCTTTTATCTACACAGAGGAAATTAATAAAAAGTCCCATTTGGATAAGAATCTGGAGGCATTGGATGAGAAAACCATTTCGCCGACAGATGTGCAATTGCTTTCTGATGCATTGAAAACGCTTTCATCTGACAAGCAGCTTGTCGTGGAGAAGGAGACGATTAAAGAGCTTAAAGAGGAGCTGCGTGATTATCAAGAAGATGTGGAGGAATTGCGTGAAGTGCGCCAAGTGGTCAAGGAACCGGTGCGCGAGAGTCGAGCTGCCAAGCTGCTCTACAATCGCGTTAACAAAATGATCTCGCAGCTGGACAACGTCCTTCATGATTTAGAACATCGTCAGCAACAGATTAAGCAAGTAGATACCCCGGATGGCTTACCCACATCCACAGCCAATCCCAGCCAATCAGTGCACATAGACGAGCTGGTATCTACAATCCGACGCATGAAGGAGGCTTCCGATGAGGAGAGGTTCAAAGTTGTTGAAGATTTGCTAGTTAAACTGGATGCTGACAAGGACGGTGCCGTTTCGGTTCAAGAGATAACCAAAGTGGTACAAAGCATTGACAGTGCGGCAACCAAAATCGACAAGGAACAGCTCGAGGAATTCACAGAGCTGCTCACTAAGCAAGCAGTGAAGCGACGTAATGAGGAAATTGTCCATATTGACGATCTTATGATGAATATCAAGAAGCTGAAGGAGACCAGCGATGAGGCCCGTATCAAGCACATCGAAAGTGTGCTAGATAAGTTTGATGCAGACAAAGATGGTGTCGTTACTTTCAACGATATACGCAAGGTAAGTAATGTTTCTAAATTAAGTAAACTGGGATAAACTGGGACTAACGTCCAATGAGCTTGCAGGTGTTGGAGTCCATTGGTCGCGATAATATTAAACTTAGCGATGATGCCATTGGAGAGCTCATTGCTCTGCTGGACAAGGAACAAATACTGGAGGCAGAGCAGAAGATCGAGAAAGCAATTGCGAAGAGCATGAAGGAAGCGGAAAAACTTAAATTAGAGGTCGAGAAAACGGACAAGGATATGGCAAAATTGGTCGATGGTATACATGATTCGGCAAAAGAGATACGAGACATAGCCACAGAACTAGGAGCAATGGAGCAGGACAGGGCAGTGCCCCAAAAGTCGGAAGTAAATATGGGTAGCCTAAGACCTACGCGAATAATGCTCTAATTTCTTGAGTTTTCTCTTTACAGCCTGATTTGAAGGATCCGGCTAAAATCTTAAAAGACAATGCGAAGGAATTAGATGATTTGTTGCACAAATGCCCACCGAACAAAAAAAGGGGCCAGGACTCGCCACAATCGCCGCCCAAAACTAACGGATCCGGTGGAAATAAAAACAACTGTAAGAAGGCCAGCGATACCGATAAATCAATTCCCAAGATAGCGATGCGTAAGGCAGCTGAAATTCAGATAGAAAAGCTATTGCCCCACAATGATATTGATATGCCACCAACGATACCCACACCGAGCCAGTCAAAAGTCGCTACCTCACCAAAAGCGGCCGCTAATGGCATTGTCGGAACCCCCAAGAAATTGATTTGACCGGCTGAGCCAAAGGCGACGGCATCAAATGAAGAATACCCAGAACATTCACCTAGGGCTAAATGATCAGAAAGTCAACCCTTTGTCCAAATTGATTTGAGTTGCATTCAATATATTATAATAAAACAGGAGAATAGTAATTCAATCTGTATTTAGTTAGATCCCAGGCAGGAGCTCCTTTGCAAGGCTGTATTAAGTATGTGTTAAAAGTCGCCCAAATTATAAACTATTGCTTATAAATACAAATATACAGAATTTGGGTATGTTAAACAAAAACCGAAACAAACTACCTTAAAATATTTACTTTCTTTTTTACCGCCTTAGATTTTTAGCAATCGTGTGCTGGTCCATCAAAAACTTGGCTCTACTATAATATTAGCAATTGTGATCATTAAGCGAAATCTTAATTTACCTAATATTTTTAATATAAATTAACTTAGAACGAAACACACACAACAATGTCAAAACGATTTGAATTCAGTTAAATATATTTATATGAACTGTAATCACAAAATTTAATTATATGCAAAAGCGAAACGAAACAACCACGTGATACTTTTCTGTAACAATAATAACTTAATGCTTAACTGAATTAGATAAACAATTTGTAAAAGTGTTACTTTGCAATAAGAAATAAAGAAACAACAAGTTACTCAAAACAAAAAATCCTGAATTTAAATTAAATTAAACAAAATGTGGAAGGTTTTTAATGAAGAAGAAATGCTATTTCTGGCTGGGATTCGTAATTACAAGCAATTGCTACTGTTTGGAATTCCGACTTGAATTCTTTATTAGCTCTAAGCACATTTGTAGTATGTGCGCAAAGCTCTCTTTATTTGACCAATCGCAATGCTTCAATCGAGCTGGCTGTAATTCTCTAGTGCCAACCGCAAAACCAAATTTCACAATGGACGGCAAGGATGGGGCGATGTTGGGGGCGATGCAACCGAATAAGTTTTGAGCAATTGCCAAAAAAATACGAAAAAAATGAAAGAAAAATATGAAGAAAAAACAAAACAATAACAACATCCATATGCTGGGCAATAAAACTAATAAATATTACCACAAAATGTGCAAAAAGTCCATAACTTTCCAGCTAAACCACTGACCCATAAATTCTCTTACAATTTTACTCGAGCAAATGCACTTCGCCACTGGCATGGAATTTAGTATACTTGGAGTTAGAAATGGGGCAGCATCAATGCAAAAATTATGATTTACTATTTCAATTTCTCTGCGATTACCCTTTGACATAGCAATTTCAGAAAACCCATTTTAATGGACTGCAAAATATTTGTTGGTTTTAATTTGCAATGATTTTCAGTTTGTCTATCGAACAAAGACCGTAATTGGAGCTACATACATATGTAGTTCCCTAGGTGGACTTGGATTGATAAGGTAAGTTACTGTTTATCCTATGACTGTTATACGTGCAATTATTATAGTTGATATATAACAGTTATACGACAATATAACTGTTTAAATAACTGTAAGACAATATGACTCAAACAGTTTAGAAGGGATTATTCACATTAAGTAGTCTATTGAAACTGTTATATTTATAACTGCTCTACTGTTCGATTGTTATACTGTTGAGTTGTTAGAAAAAATTGGTAGACTAAGTACGTATGTACAATGTTACTATTGTGACTGTCATATAGTGTGTTCTATAGACTGTTATACTTTTATACTTCACTTATGTAAATTTTGTGCTAAATTGTAACTGCTAAATTGTGTCGTATTGAGTGTTATACAAACTGTTCTATTTGACTATTATAATAACTGTCATATTGACACACTAATACAACATTACTATTATAATTGCTGTCACATTGACTGTTATACAGACGCTCCAACCTTATTACTCAACTGTCATACATTTGGCTTTCTGTCAGCTTAACTGCTTATGATGTCAAATGGCCCTCTGAGATATGAAGACATTTGAGTAAAGTTTCAATCATTTACAAATCCCAGACCGAGATGCCGTCGACAGACAGCGAGAAGAGTTTTACCAACTGAGTAAACATGGGATGGCCAAGTTTGGCCATCGATGATATCGAATACAAATAAAACTCAAACGATGCAACAAATAAGACCGAAACGAAATGTGTTTAAAGGTAAATAAAAGCTTGAAAAATGTGAAACAAGCCAAATAATAATAAACTTTAGCTCCATTGGGAGCTGCGGGCCAAGTGAGAATTGTTGTTTGCAATCAAGCAATACTCAACAATAACAACCAACGTGAGGCGAGTCGACGCCAGTCGAAAAGGAAGAGCGCTTCAAAACTAGTTCGAGCAACTGTCTGCGTCTGTCTGCGGAGCAGACGAATGTGCAACGCAGCTGGAGTTGGTGTTGGCAAAGTTTGTCCAGCTAAAAGTGCTTGAAATGCAACAATGACATTCGAAAAGCTGCCCTGAATTGGCGAGAATCAGGGCAGAGCAAATTCAAAGTGGTTTCTCACGAAATAAAGTTAATAAAGTGGACAGACCGAACGCCCGCCATATGGCATTGCAACTCTGCTCCCCTCTCACTCTCTCTCTCTCTCTCTCTCTCGTCCACTCTGCCTGTCTCCTTCTCAATTAAATAAAATCGAATCGCTGCAGGAAATGTCTTGAAACAATTAAAAACTTGTGCCCTTCCATGAGTCAATCAGAGTGCAACACAATAAGTAGCCAAAGCCGAACAACTTGACACTTGCAACACTTTAAATGCCCCACGAGGCAGCAGCGCACAGAGCGTGAGTGGGCGCTGGTGGCTGATCTAGTGGTGTAATGCATTTTATAGTGGCAAACAAATCAAGATAAATTGTCCTTGCTATGTTTAAGTGATTGAAGCTAAAGCTTAAGCTAGTCTTTAAAGCAGAGTCAAGGCTAGAAGAGAATCTTGAACACTATGAATTATAAGACAATTTGAGCTTACTTTAAAACTTGATGTAGATATTTCTTAGGTCAAATCAAGCTATGGCCTATTCTTTGCTTTATTTTTTTTGAGTAGGCAAAAATAGGAATTAAAGGCGTAGCGTATGACCAAGCAAGTGAGGGACTTAAGACAAAATATATTCCAAGACAATCCAAAATCGAATAAACGCATTCATTCATTCGGATCGATCATAAGGAAGTTAATTCTTGAAATAAAATAAAATAAAAAAGTTAATTTATAGAACTTCACTCTACAGCTCCTTTAGATTACCGGTTAGAAGCGTTTATACATAGGGCCACATAAATTAGGCTTCATAGAGTCAGCCATTGCTGGCTATGAATAAACACATATGGTAATATTTTCAATAATAATAATTTCAACTGCATTATTAATCAACTTTATTACACGTCCTATTTGCGAAACAATATTGAAATATTTCGCTACACTTTCTACAATTTTGTTAAGATAGTGTAAAATAGATAGGTGTTAAAGTGAAAAGAGAGTTAAAGAATATAAAAAGAATTACAATATAAACAGATGTATGCGTAATTTCTTTGTTTGCGTATTGGAACACAAGCGCAGGCTCGCTGAGTGTGGGATCGTCTGTCATTCTACTTCAGGTGTGGGCATTCTATTTGGCTGCATCGAATCGATGGAACCAGCCATAGCGCCAGCTGGTTGCCTCCGGATAGTTGTATTTGGCATCCGGCGTATGGGCGTAGCGCGTCTCCAAATAAGTCGTGCGGCTTCCAGTCTTTAGGAGCAGCAGTTCATCGGCCGGCACAGATTTCATGGCTTTGCGGGATTGGCCGAAGAAATGCGCCTCCTCCTTGGACAGATCATAGTCGAAGACTCTCGATGGCGACGGCCGATAAATGCGCTTGGCCAGCGGCGTCGAGGTTCGGGGTAATGTAGCAGCCACAATGCGCATTCTGGATGAAATGTTGTCTGGATAGTTGATCTTAATTTTGCGACTGCCTGCGCTTGATATACTCTTGTCTGATTTGCTGGCCAGTTTTCTGGGCTGGGTCTCCAGTTGTGGTTTGGCCAGCTTCGTCGAATCACCTTCTACGGACTTTGTCTTTAACTCATATAGGCTGCTCGCAGCATCAGCTGCTGTTGCCAGCTTCTTAGATGCTTCGCCGACTTTTGCTATTGTTGCTATTGCTGTTGGCTTCATTTTCGTGGATTTATTTGGCTGGCTGCGAGCCTCTAGATGCGTACTTAGAAATTTTGTTGTCACTTGTTTATTTTGATAGCTAAACATTTTTTTAATGTGTAACTGCTAAAGCAATTTTGGACAGCTTTGCAGCAGTCCTAAACGAATCTCTACTGAGGCATGGAGTGCTCCGTTCAGAGCATAAAATATTTTATATATTGCATTTTTCTCAAAATCAATAATCACTTAAGTTATTTATATTAATATAAAATCTCAAACCTTTTTCAGAGAAAAAGACTTAATATAATTTTTTTTGCAACAGCATTTCCACCAGGTGGATTATGCATCCAGTTCGTCTTTTGGCTTCTCTCCCTTGCCCTGCGGTCGCCGCGGCGTGGGTATGAATCGGCCAAAGCCCTCGGTAATGCGAAGCTCACCTTTCTCGGCGCAAATGCGTCCAGGCACCAACACATACTCAGGCACTCCATGCACCGTCATGCCCTTTAAGAGTAAGGATTAGAGATGTTATCCTCCATGGGTATTGGGTATATACTGTATCAACTAAACATACCTCAAAAATATTGAAATCGTATGCATGATGATGTCCTTAGATATGGTGTGTGTTGCTTGTGGCTAGAAATCAATATATATAATATTAAATGTTAATATATTGAGTAAAACATTTATTTAAAATTAATATTATATAACATATCTAACAGATAAGGTGTAGCAGTTAGATAATCCGAATGAAATGAAATTAGCTAAAATATTTTAATCGAGCAGAATTTGATGAATTTGATTAACAAGAACTAAACAACTCTACAACAAAAATCTTTACAGCTGAGTCAAGGGTAGAATCTTGAACTAGTTATGAAAATAAAGACATTTTGTGCCTAGTTTTAATCTTGATGTTCATTTTTCTTTCTTTCATTTTTCTTTCTTTTCTCAAATTTTAGTTTAAAAAATCTTTAAGTCTTTAAATCTTTATTTAGTCTTTCTTATTAGATCTCCAATCGGAGATCGGTTCGTGTAATGATACAAAGAGTCACCTGCATAGGCTTAGAGCATATGTCAGGTGTCTTTTAGAGCAACATAAATTGAAATCAGATTGAAATAAAGAAATAGATTTAAATATCAATCAAACAGACATTATTAGATAGAAAATTATATGCCATTAATGTTTTAATATGAGCTGTTACAGCTGGAGCATACAATTTGGAACTTCAATTATCATATTCAGCCCATATATCACACTAAACAGTAATTTTCTATTGATGTAATGATCTTGCCACAAAAGCTGGGTGATTTTTCTCAGCTTCAATGTGACAAATGGACTTAATAAGTGCGTCATAAAATCGACGAATTTTGTTGAACAAAATCAAATAATTTTAGCGATTTGTAAATTTGTCTAACCACAAATAAATGTAAAAATAAACTCAACAAAAAACAATTTTTTGGCTGTTAAATAGATTGCCAAATAAAGCAGTAATGGAAAGTCAAAGTAGTAAGCCTCTAAGAAAAACAGCCTTTATTTATATATTATATTTATTTATATTAAGTGTATTCCATAAACATTTTTAAATTATTTTTATATTTATATAAATTAATATAAATAAATTAAAAGAAATTATTGATTTTTTAAAACTCAATGAGAATTTATTATATTAATATTAATTTATATTCATTTAAAATCCAACTTTATAAACCACATAATATATATTTTTTAGCATCTGCATATTTTAAATACATTTCAGAGACAAAAACTAGGACGACTTTAGTTGCAGTTACCAAAAACCAGATGATTTTCCGCCAGGTGGATTATGCACCTTAATGGACGAGCGCACGCCCGATTTGTCCAGCTCCTCTGCAAAGAAAAAGAGAACAAATTGATAATTTTTAAAGAGTTGAAGTGAATTTACAAGGCTTGGCGCACCGCTTAATGAAAAGGATGTTTCCTGCATATCCCGCTTGCCGTCGACGCGTCCGACCCCACTGGAAGGTGAGCTGGGAGTAGCATTACCAGAGAACATTGCAGCGGGAGGTTCTATTTCAGCAACGTGAACGTCCAGCTGGGCTAGTTTTTTAGTCATGCTGCCATTCAGTGGCACCTGGTCGTCCTTTGGCACCATCTCCTTGCCCTCAATACTATCATAAACAAAAGGCGGTCGCAGCGGCGTGGGTATGAAACGTCCAAAGCCCTCGGCAACACGAAGCTGGCCATTCTCGGCGCAAATGCGTCCGCGCACCAACACATACTCAGGCACTCCATGCACCGTCATGCCCTTTAAGTTTAAGGATAAGAGATGGTGGATAAATATTATATACTATATATGGATGGATACTATGGATTTGAACATACCTCAAAAATATTGAAATCGCATGCATGATGATGCGTGTCCTTAGATATGGTGCGTGTTGCTTGTGGGTCCCAAATAACAATGTCAGCATCTGAGCCATTGGCTAGAAATCAATATATATAATATTAAATGTTAATATATAAAATTGATATTATATAACATATCTAACAGAAAATTATGAGAAAACAGTAGAGCAGAATTTGATAAAAGTAAGTGAGAAGAGCAAAACTAAAATCTAAGATCTATATATATATTAATATATACCCAAAAAAAATTAATGGTTGACTAGTCTATCACTTATCTTAAATAAGATAATTTACTTGATACTGCTTATAATATTTTCTCTTTTACATTTATGAAAACTCTTACCAATTCGTCCCTTTTGTGGATAAATATTGAATATTTTGGCAGCATTCGTGCTGGTTATGGCTACGAATTTGCAGGGATCCATAAGACCGGAATGTACTCCGCGCTCCCATACTAGGGACATACGATCCTCCACGCCATTGACGCCATTGGGTATCTTGGTAAAGTCGCCTAGGCCAAGTTCCTTTTGCTTCTTGTTGAAAGTGCAATTATCGCTGCCCGTCGTCTGTAGAGCATCGCTGCGAAATATAGATAAGGATCAAATTTCCATTCTATCTATTAAAATATTCATTTATTAAAAATACTTTGTCTCATGAGTGGGGCATAGAGTGGTATTAATATTGTGAATAATATGTAATGCATACTCACTACGGCAAATCCTCCTTGGCATTGCTTAGGTAATGCCCAAGGATTTGCTAAATGTTGGCATCATCATCTAAGCTGTGGCCGAGCATGATCATATGGATGTGATTATGTATGATTGAATGTCAGTTTCATTTAATTACTTATTCAAAACTGAACTGTGTTGCCTTAAACGACTCACCTGGCTAGCAGCTTCATCAGAAACTCGGGCGTTGTTTTGTCGGGTCTCAGGGGCGGGCTCAGCACATGAGCTGCAGCATGAGCAAAGTGCTGACAGCGATAGTGGGTGCCATCTGTACCGAGAGCCGCCGCCAAGGTCTCCCCGTAGATGTATTTCTCACTATAACGCTGACGAGCGCGTGCTACCTCAATGCCCGCTGATTTGCTCATAACGTGCACCACATAAAGGGGACAGTCGACCTAGAGCAACATTTTTTAATGCAAATTAATTTCACAAGAATAAAATAAAATGCATACCTGATGAGCCAATATGCAAGCACGATGCACGGCCTCAGCCTCAACTTCTTCCTGGCGTGACAGCTCGTGACCCTCGGGCCCAGTGATGCCCTCAGCTAGTAGGCGTTTGGCATTCTTGGCTATAATATCACCATTCTCAGCATGAACCTAAAGCCGCAAAGGTAAAATATAAGAGATTTAAATCTTGAATACAAAGAGTTTTGTGTAAACCCACCATAGCTACGCCATTCAAGCCTCGAATGCGCTCAAAGACATCCAAGAGATCAGAGTCGTTCAACTGATAGAGTCCCTTGTAGGCCATAAAGGTCTTGAAAGAATTAATGCCCAACTCTTTGCAAAGTATGCCCATTTCCTCGGACACCGACCTCGACCACCAAGTAATGCCCACATGGAGTGCGTAATCACAGCAGACCTTGGGATCAGCCCAGCTGCGCCATTTGTCATAGGCCTCAATCATCGATTCGTTTTTGTTAGGCAACACAAAGTCAACTAGGGCAGAAGACATGTAAATAATCCATATACTCATATATATATATATATATATATTATATTGAATACCTACTTATCATAGTTGTTCCACCAGCAACAGCCGCTTTAGTTCCATGGTAAAAGCTTTGTGTTTGGTAAATAATTGGTAAATAATTTGTTAGTTATTTATAGAACTTCAATTACTTACTCATCTACAGCCACCGCATTGCCAAATGGTAGCTGCATGTGCGTATGCGGATCTATGCCACCTGGCATAATTAGCTTGCCGCTGGCATCAATTGTGCGCACGCCACCTGGTACCGTTATATCCGCAGCGGGTCCTACGAATCTGTGAAAAAAGATTTAGAATCTATATTTTTTGGATTATATTATATTGATAATATTCACTTGATAATGCCATCTTCTATGTAAACATCCGCTTTAAAGGACTTGTCGTGATTGACAATTTGTCCATTTTTGATATAAACGCGATTCTGGGCGCTTTGCAGGTGTATGGGCACCTTTTTAACTGGTGCCGGACTATGTGACATGTTATACCTGGAAAGATTAAGAATTAAGAATTAAGTTTAATAATATTAAAGACAAGTAAGAAAGTTCTTGCCGGGAATCCTATCCAATCCGTGTAACGTTTCCTCTAATAACTTCTGTGTTACTTAATGATTTGATCTACACAATATTTTTGTGTACTTGTCAGTTTAGTAAAGATGCAAACTACTTCTTATATTGGCAATATATCACACAATCGTTCACACTTACGGACAAATATAAATATATCTTATGGGTTCTGTCACGCCTCCTTCTGCCTCTTGTCTGGTTTGAGATCAGTATGAAGAAATCAGAGACACTGAACTGACCGTACACAAAGCTGTGACATTTCTGATATCTTAATCGAGCTTTCGCCTTGACATAAAAATATTTCTTATCGGAAATGATTACCAAATTGATTTCAAGAATAAATAATATGTTTATTACGCTAGCGAGTATTTAAAATGTTGATGATAAAAATATTTATGACATGTTTCATTTTAGGGGTTTACAATCTTTGATAAATTGCAGATAGCAAAGCTCTGCTTTTGCCATTTAATATTTTGACTGCACGCATTTTTAGTTAAATATACTTCAAATACAACAATTTCTAATCATATCAATTGAAATAATCGTACATTTGCTCCATTTAAAAAAAACGACCATTTACCACTTAGAGCAAGCCTAAGCGCAATGCACTTTTTGTCTCACTGCCCCAGATGTGAAGTGACGCAAATAAATTTACGCTTTAAATATAGAACACACTTTGCAGCATTTTACAGAAAATACACAATATAACATAATTTGAAAAGATTAGAAATATTTAAACAACTTAAGAACTAAGATCAAGTTGACGTCAAGCCTATGCCCAATGTTAGGCCAAGTTTTTCACTTCTATAAGGCGATAATAAGGTATATATATATGTGTATATATATGTATGCATATATGTATATAGGCATATATGTTAAACAGTTTCATATGTATTCAATGGGCATGCAATAACAACAATCTAGTTTTGTTATAGGTACCAAAATAGCCGACTCAACAATTATCTACGTAGTGGCCACATGTGAATAATATTAAACACACACAGCCACACACACATGTAAAACAACTATACATATACAGCTCCAAATATGTATAAGCCACTGGCATAGAAAAAAAAAAAACAAAGTGCGAAAAACATTATTCTCTGACCTACTACCAAATAGTTTATGCGCGATGTAATCGCATTGGCAAAGATCTTTTTATTTCAAGCAAACTTGATTTATAATTAGAATTGTATTGATTTTTATGAGCCATTCACAGTTTTAGAATTTTTTTTCAAAATTAACCTATGCAACAGTTCAGCAATAAATTGCAGTTTTTAATGGCTTTTCATATGTATTATAGTTATAGTATATAAATTTGTTTGTTGTATGACGCGTTCGTATATAATAAATACTTTTCTCTTTTTGCTAAGTTAAGCAATAATTTCTCATAATTTACCGTTAAACTTTAAATAATTTTGGAAGTTTAATTGCCGACAAATCTGAACGACGTACGACGCAACCGCTCTAGCCAAAAAACTCTGATAAGACTGAACAAGTTAGCAACCGGTGCTGTTAAGCTCAAGTGACTGCTGTTAACAGCACTGTTAGCTTAACAGTGGCCGAAGTATCGATAGCTTATCGAGATCAGTTGCTACGAATAGGCGCGCATATTTGATATTTATGTAAGCGCTGAAAATATAAATTTATTTAAATTTTAAAACAGTTCAAAATTATAATAAAAATTTAAATTAATTTAATTAAATTAATCAATTATAGAAATTAATTATATAAATTAATTAAATATAAACATATAAATTTATTAAATAGATACATTTTCATTTAGATTTATTAAACGTAAAAAATTTTTTTAATATTGTTCGTTTTCAATAACTGCACAGATTAAAAATTAAATAAAAACTGCCGTTCGAACATTGCCTTTATGAAAAAATTTCTTTCGAATGCACTTCATATTAGCTTTGGCCCTTATTTTCTACTAAGTTGCATGTCGCACATTTCTAGCTAAAGCACAGTTTGTAGCTAAAAGGAAATTTGTTAAAACATATTAGCTTTACTCTTTATAGACAGGCATCTCTTAAATAAGTTCTTTTTGTGTTTCTAGGTTACGAGGATCAAGGATTATTCCGTTAAGTCGTGGTACAAGTATGTATCATCAATTTATTTATTGTTTTTGGCATAAACTCTTTCATCTTAAATCTCACTCTGTCGATTTGGTTATGCTGCGCACTAAATTAAGTCCTATAGCCAAAAGGGATTTATGTTTTTATTCAATTTTTGGTGGCTGGTGAGAAAATATAAAGTGGATTATACAGAGATAACAGGCAGGCCACAGTTATGCACATACTACCTACAAAAGCCTTCACAGTCATTTTTTGTTTTGTTTCTCTGTTTGCCTGCACAACTGGAGTTCACAGGAAGTGCAGAGCATCGAGCCAGGCACCGCAGCTGGCCATAAAAATCGTGCACAGATATGTCGCGAGCCGTGAAATGTTTATATGCATGGGGGTCGCGGCGTGTCCTTCTTCTGCGTCGAACAGTTGCAATTGAACTGAAAAAGGAAAAAAGAAACGAACAGAATGGAGACTCCACAAAAATGTAATGCTCGATATTGGCAGCTAACGAAATCCAAAGCCGATCTGTGCCACTTTTCTTGTGGACTTGCTGGCTAATACCTTAAAGACGACTGCCACTTAATGCCTGAGACAATCTCCACGAGTGTGGTAGATGGCAGCTCCTTTGGTGTGTATATCCAATGGCTGTTCCCTATTGCTATGCTGTGTTCGTCATGGCTCGAAATCCTTTCAGCTTATTTGGCCGTTTAGTTAAACGCAATTCGGACATTGCTTTTGGCCGCCTTTGTTGCCAGTGTTTCCACCTGACGGCGGGACGTGCGAGTGCTGCATAAATTAAACGATAAGTTGACTCTGCTCTTTTTCGTTACTTTTGCGTATTCACTCGGAATTTATGCTTGAATCGAACTTTAGTTAAGCATTCCAATGACAGCCATGATAAAGTGTTCACTTCTCACGATTGTCTGCAAATATTAGCTCTCTTTCACTCTCCTTCTATCTCTCTCTTGCTCACTATGTTTGCGCCATTTAAGCGCATAATGAAAGTACGATAACTGAACTCCATCAGGTATACTTTTTGCTTATGTTACTTTCGATTACGATCTATATATTTAAATCCAAAATGTATTTAGTTTTTCTGCTAGATATCTGCAATGAAGCAGACCAATTTCCATTCAAAATGTTTGCTTAAATTTCATGTACTTCAGTTGAGCATTTCGCTTGGCTAGCAAACAGATATTTTATATCGTTAATTTTAAAAGATTTCTTATTAAGATTTTTACTGATATTCAGTTGGAAATGCCTTTAATATAATGGCTTCGGTATCTACTTATTTAAATGTAGTCATTATTTCATGTGCTCCAACTGCATCTCTCATCTCATGCTTCACTTCAAGCTATAAATCTTAAAAGTACGTCATTTAGGCTAATGTGTCTGCAATTAAGTTTATATTTTTGTGCTCAGGCATACGTATAATATCTGTCAATATAAATGCTGCTCAGTGGAGTGTGTCTGACATTGAGTGAGTTTGTTGGACAAGCAAGAAGTATTTTTATTCTAATTATTTCTGGGTATAATTCTTACAGCTGTGGCTCATGTTGAAGATATTTAAAGTTTGGTATAAAATATATAAGTTATATTCCATGAGTAAGGCTTTTGTTAACTTTTAAGAATATCTCAATTCAATAAAAGACTTCGGTTAGTTAAATAGTTCATATAGCCAAAACTAACTAAAGGCATCGTCAGATATAGTTTACTGAAACTCCGCTCTATATAAATATATTTGTAACTAAATTTTTGATTTTCTTTCGCTTTGTTTGCTGCACAGATTCAATTTGACAGCAGCAACTGAGGCGACAGCTGCTCTCACAATTTACTTGACGTGTCTTGACCATTAGTGTAACTTCTTTCTTTTCTCTCGATTGAGTTAGCTTCACTTCCATTTTGATTTTCCTGCCCATTTTCATTCCTTTCATTTCCATTATCTGGCAACATTTTTATCTATCAATAGTTTTGAAGCGGCGCGCAGCTATTGCCATTAATTTGCGCGACATTTGTTCGCCATTTGGCTTTTAGTTGGCATCGCGCAGGCTAAGAACAACTCAACTGCCTGACTGATTGCAGTCTGCACTTTACGGCAATTGCTACCACTTTGCGCCAGCCAAGTTGAAAAGCTGCGACTTTTATTCTAAAACTTGCCCTTAAGAGCCAACCAGCTGCACAATGCAACTGAATAGCGAATTGCAACTGAAAGAGGTAGGTAATACGTTTAAGACTTCTTCTCAAACTTCTTTGAAGCGATAGGGAGAGAGAAAAAAGTCGTGAAATAAACTTAACATGAAAATGTTAACATCTATTTAACATAGCTGTAACAGCAGGCTTTTCTATAAGAGCTCTATTAACTTCTTATGAACGAACATAACATGAAAATGTTAACCTTTTTTAACATAGCTATAACAGCAGCCTTTAACACTCAAACGCCTTCCAGCCAAGCTCTTTTCAGTTCTATTAATTTCTTATGAAGTCGCCCGAAAAACACATTAAATTGTTTATCCGCTCATAACATTTAATGACAGTTAAAAGTCGCTAAAGTTTTCGCTTCAAGATTTGGCCATGACTATGACTGCAGTAAGCGGATACTTTGTCTATTCCAAACGGAGCATATCTATGGAGCAAAATGTAATTAGTGCTTGCCAGAGACTTGGGCAAACAGAAGTAACCCGCAATAGTTGGACTAATTGGATTGAGTATTAGTATTAGTTAAATCGAATTTGAGCACACGTATTGATTAGGAAGCGGACACATTGCAGCTAACTTTGATAGTTTCTGTCAAACTTGGCCACAAGCAGACAGCTCAAGGTGCTGATCAATGGGTGGGCAGATGGATAACATGATTGACCCCCGGACAGTTGCTGTACCCTGGGCACGTAATAAGCTGCGTGTCTGCACAGCTGCTGCTGCTGTTGATGTGGGGCGCGCACTCACGTTCGCGGTCGTCATGTCGGCTCGTTTATAAACGCACACCCACACAGACAAACGACTTAATAACTGAAAAGTGAGTGGGGTGGGAGTGGGAGTGTGCCAGTTCGTTGACACTAAATGCCACTTTAGGGGCGTCAGGTGGGTGCGGGCGAACACGAGCATCTGAATACGGACCAAAGTCAACAATGCTGCGCGTTGCTAGGTTTATTAAAAGGGCTCAGGTGAACGTCTGAACGCCATTTACAACGGCAGGTGAAGCTAAAATCACAGTTCGCGCTGCCAGCCAGTGTCCGCCTTCTGCCTGGCTATCTACCTGCCTCTGTTTACTTAAGCTAAGCACACACACACACGTATACATGTGCATTTAAAGATTGCCCAGCTTGTCTGCTGCTGCTGCTGCTTGAGCACTTTTCCGCTTCGTGCTTGCCTCCTGTGCCCCATGTCTGTGTGCAGGTTTTGGCGTTTAAAGGTCATTTGCATTTTGACCTCATCAGCTACTTTGCGAGACATTTGCAACATCAGTTAAGAACTGTGCTTAAGCCTTGTTTGAAGTCAGTCATCATAATTAACATGAAAAGTTAAGCATTCGCTCATGAGTGAAGAAAGACACACAAAAGCTGAGCAGCTCGAAATGTGAAATTGTATTTTGATAGTCTTTATGCGATAGTCTCGATTAAGCCAAGGTTGACCTGGCCTAAACAGACCTAAAACAGATGAAATATGAGTGAAAAATAAGCGATTTACATGTGAAACAAGATTAAGTTTTAGTATATTAATTTTTAAATATTAAAAAAATTTGCCTAAAGTGTAAATTGATGTAATATTTGACAGTGGATGTTAAATGGATGAATGTTAAAAATTAAAAGCAGGTAAAAAAGCAGTGAAAATGTTTTGCTTCCTATTTAAGCTATGATGCGATTCTTTGTCAGCTTTGAACTGCAATTTGAAGTGCTGTTACAATGCACAAAGTGCACAGCAAATCATAAGCATTCAAATGCAACTAAAAATGTGTTAAGTTGTTAAACAATTTCTAATATGATTTATATATTCTGTTTGCTCACATTTTAGAGAAAGGGTTAAATATGCCAATGCAGCTAAACTGCTTTAAAAAAGTGAAAAGCAAAGATTTGATGAAAAAGAAGTGAAAATATATAAGAATAAAAAGCAGATCATAATTGGCAATAAATCTTGAATATTCAAAGCCAACTACAGATTTGGAATATCAAACAAATTATACGTTAAGTGTTCTTTTTGGAGCCTTACAGTTGTCAATTGGTAACACTGCTTTATTGCACAATTCTTTAAATAGCTAAAACTTGCTTTTTGTTGATTTTGATTTGACATTTCAGTATGAATAGACTTATTCCAAAGAAACGCTTGCAAATGACCGAATTTTTTATTAAAATAATGCACTTCATCCATTTTATGGGGCACATAATGGTGAAGCCCATTTTAGCTTGAATTGTCACACTTGGAGTGTGGACAATTCCACAAGCTTTTGCCGAAAGACCATTACAACTAAAAATATTACTTTATGGACTGGCGATATCATTAGCGCAAATGTCTTCAAAACAATAATAGTTATTGATTGTGATAATTGTAAAAGTTGGTGTTCCAGATTGCGCCTTATATGCGCCATAAAAATGACATAAAATTTTCAATCAAATTAAGCTCATTTTATTGCTGTTGAAAAAGTATTTAATTATTTTATTGCAAATTAAATAAAATAATACAAAGCATACATTGCTCTTTATTATACTCAAATCCAGCTTAAAGCAGAGTAAAACCAGGAAAACAATCTCCTTTGACTTGCCATTAAATTTGTCTACGAACCAAGTCTCAATATGCATTAGCCATTAGCCAAGTCACAATGAGCAAAGATTTCCAATGTAGCAACAGCTGCTTCTTTTTGCGCTACTTTCGTCGTGGCGCTCATGGTTAAGCTAGGAATTAGTGAATGCTCTTAATTAATAATCAAATAATGTTCGACATGTGATGTGATAAAACACGCGAGTGCCGCTGCAGGGGCACTGTGTGTGGCAAAACAAATGGCAAATGCTTAACAAGCACTTACCATTTACAGCTTCGCATTGCTGATCATTAATTTGCAGACGGAGAGCATCGAAGAAGCCGGCGAAGCACTCGAAACAATACTCCAAATCGTGTTTATCCACTGTAGCGCCTTTAACTTTTATTGGTCTTTAGCTGTGCTGCACAACGATGCCAAGCACCACCGAGGGGCTGGTTGGCTGGGTGGTTGGGCGGCTGTTACTGTGAGCTGTGGTGTGCCTTGGCGAAGATGTAAGAAAAACAACAATCAACACCATTTGCCGCTACAAATTAAGCTTCGAGCAAACAAATCGCGTTGAGTTCCCTAAGACTTTCGCATTTCACTTCTGTTTGTTCGTGTTGTTGCCTGTCTTGTCTGCCACTGCCACTGCCACTCCCACTCGCTGTTCCGCCCACTGGCTGACTAGCTGCCCCGTGGCAAATTCGTGTTTCTACGAAAATATTTTCGACAGCATTCGATGTGTACTACGTGTATTTATAGCGCATGGTGCTTAATCAAATGCCGTTGGCTTGGATACGCTGCGTATACTTAATTTCAGTTTTGTTTCTTTTGCCCCAGGGCGTGAATTCTTTTCCGTTAGATGGTAGCAGGACTAATTAAGCTGTGACTGAAAAATGTTTATTTAAATTGTTTAGTGGACTCCATTAAGTGATTAACATTTCATTTAAGCCAAGTGTGCGTATGTTCGGCAGTTATATAAATTGATTATTGGTTAACACGAGTAGGCGAAGCCTATCAAGTTTCTTTGTTGATGACACTTGAATTCAAATGCAATTTAAATTAAATAGAGAATAGAGGCACTTGATACGTTTAGCATTTTCGTTTTAGGGTTCGTAATTTTTCAAAATATTCGTTTCTAGCTCAACTATTCAGACGGCTGCAGCCTTGCTTACTTGATCCTTGACATGGCAAATCGAGGCTGGAAAGCTGCTCTTGAAGATACAAAACATCCTCCAATAGAACGTCAACTGCGCAGCATGCAGAGGTCAAGCTTATGTGTGCATTTGCTGTTTGCTATGTGTGCATGAAAGAAGCGTAGAATGGTGGGGACAGCAGCTCTGCGCAGGGTTCAGGGTATTTCCTCCTGACTTCAGCTTACTTACTTACTTATTCATAATAAAATTTATAAAAAATGCGGGTTAATACTTTTCATTTCAGATAAGTTAAGCCAATGATGAAAATGAGTTTGTCAGTTTTTTAAAAATTATTTTAGGCAATTTTTTTAGTAATATTAAACAGAGGAAACTTGAACTGTTGCGAGAGGAAGGCGCAGAATTATGCAAATGAATATGACAGTTAATTGATGGCAAATCTGGTATGTTGTTGAAGTAACTATTTACAGAGAGGTTTATAAAGACAGCATATAAAACACTGAAGAAAGCAAAGTCTCCTTAGTTTAGTATTTCTATTTTTTATCGATAATAAGAAAATGGAATAAAAAAAAACTTGTACATACGGATGGACAGACAGCCAAATGGACAGACAGATTTACCTCATCGTCCTAATCAAGAATATATATAAATTATGGACTCTGCCACGCCTCCCACTGCCTGATACATATGCTTTTCCAAAACCATTTTAACCTGAATTCCCATTTTCCAGGTGTTCGCGAAATAAATTAGTTGAATTCCTCTTTATTTTTTGGTCAAATGTTAGTTTTTTCTCTATATAATATATAAGCATATAAATCAATAAAAAATGTGCACACCTCTGCAGCCGTCACTCTCCACATTAATGCGTGAAATGTTTTAAATACCTGCCGACGGCTAATGAAAACAATAATCACAATTCAATTAAGACTTGATAAATATGATTTGATTGTGATTTTATTAAATATTATTTAATTAAAGAACAATAATGCAACTTTTTTGACAATTATTGTTTAATTAAATTTCTTTTTTTCCATCATTTGTTTAATTCGTTTGGCGAAACGTGAGCTATCGAAATGGCCGCAGGTGTATGGAAATAGTTTAAAATAATAATTCGATACATATCTTTGTGTCGTAATTCTATTAATTTGGCAATTTATTTATTTGGCATTTCGGATTGGCTAACGTGTCTGGGGCTTGGATGCTCAGAGTGCGACATTGGCACGTGTTTAATCCTACTAAGTATGCCGTCAAAAATGGTGTATACTGTAGCCAGGGACCGGGAACCAGGGACCAGGGGTGCCAGCAGTTGTCATAAAATGTTAAATACAAATTTATGGCAGACAACGCGCCTCTGGCATACTAAGCATTCGTAGCGAGCTGGCGGGGGCCGTGGGAGGGCGGCAGCTAAACGCATTAGCAAAATGAAGCTGTTTCGATAGACATTACAACAATGCTAGAGATTTGTTCCATTGTTATTATTTTGTTTCTGCGGCACATTTGCCCACCCATCACATGCTTTGTTCTGTGCTGAGCTGACAAAATTCGAATAGCAGCTGCTGCTGCTGCTGCTGCTGCTTCTTTCCATTCAAATGGGACTTGAATGCTTATAATTCTAGCAAAGGTGATTACACTTAAGGTGTTTAATGGCGCCATGCTGATAGTTACAGATCGAACACTGGTGCTCAACAAGCCGATTATCAAGCGAATTGTTTCACTGCACAAATTCGAGTTTACTTCTATTTTTACCTTTAGTTTTTCCGCTTTAAACTGAAGAAGCTTTTCTATTGTGAAGTTACTGAAGGTGGGAAATATTGTTGTGTTTTGTTAAAAATGATAAGAAAAGGGTGTGACTAGACCTTAGAAAGTATGCTTATTCTTGATCCAGTGCGTGTAGATGAACCTGTGTGGCCCTGTCCACTGGCATGTCTCTCCGTCTGTCTTTACAGTTGTCTGCCAGCTTGTATTTCGATCAGTCTGTTCAGCTGTCTGTCTGTTCATAAAGGTGTGGTCCGTCTGTATGCCTATATGTCTGTCGCTTGTCAGTCCGTCCGCCATTCTATCCATCCGTCCATCTATCCGTCTATTTGTATATTCATCGATTTATCCATCCGACCTTCCATCCGTTTATCTGTCTGTCTGTAGAAATCAGAATTATTAATCACAAATGATTTGCTTTAGACATTAGATAATACGATTTTGTTTTCAATGAAATTCTAGGCAAAACACATTAAATATATATTTTTCTATCAACACTATGCCTGGCTACGATGGAGCTGTGACCATATATTCGCCCGATGGGCATTTGCTGCAAGTGGAATATGCTCAGGAGGCGGTGCGCAAGGGCTCCACAGTGGCAAGTGACACTTTATAGAGTTATATAAATATATTATGGCTCATTTGGGTAATTCTGCTCCACTGTGCAGGTGGGCTTGCGCACCAAAGATTCGATTGTGATGGGCGTGGAGAAGAAGGCCGTGGATACGCTGCAGGTGGAGCGTACAGCGCGTAAAATTCGAAAGCTCGACGATCATCTGGTTGTGACTTTTGCCGGCCTGACTGCCGATGCACGCATCCTGCTGAATCGCGCTCAGGGCGAGGCGCAGAGCCATCGCCTCAACTTCGAGCGGCCCGCAACGGTGGAGTACATAACACGGTGAGTGCCTGGACATGATTAGAGAGTTAGTTACAGTTCGCCTGCTGCTCGTCAGATATATCGCTAAATTGAAGCAGAGCTACACACAGAGCAATGGCAGACGTCCGTTTGGCGTCTCCTGTCTGATAGGCGGCTTTGATGCGGATGGCAAGCCGCGTCTGTATCAGACCGAGCCCTCTGGCATTTACTACGAATGGGCGGCCAATACCACCGGTCGCCTGGGCAAGACGATGCGTGAGTATTTGGAAAAGAATACGCCTGCCATGAGCAACTCGCCCGATGATGCCGCTGCCATCAAGCATGTGGTGCGCGCCCTCCACACGTCCACAGCCCTGAATGCCAGCTTCTATGAGGTGGCCGTGCTCAAGTATCAGCAGCCGCTGCACATGGTCAGCCCCACAATGGTGGCTCATTTGGTGCAGGTTATCAAGCAGGAGGTGGCAGACGAGGAGGCCAGGCTGAAGAAGAGTTTGGACACCAAAACGTAAACTTTTTTGCTATCTATATATATATATATATTATATATATATATATATATTTATATATATATATATATATATTTGGAATCTTGTTAAATTCACGTTAGCCCGCGGCAGGCATTTGTTAACCTTTCGGCCCAATCAAGACTTGATGAACTTTTTCTTTTTGCAATTTAATTTTTCAGCTACGCTCGGCCCCTTTGGGCGGGGCAAAAGTAATCAGCACGAAAAATGTGTAAACCGAGCAAATCACTTAATTTGCCTCAAGGGCATCTTTAAGCACTTCAGCGTCCGCAGCTTCGCACACAAATCCTGTCCAGCCGCCTTTGTGTGTGCGGGTGCTAACAAAAATGAGAAAAAAAGAAGCGAGTTAAGAACTTTTAAGTGAAAATGGAAATTGAATTTGCGCCAAAAATTGCATACTTGCACACACACAACACACACACAACACACACACACACACACATGCGTGTGTGCGTGAACTGCTGTTGTGTTTGCTTTCGATATTTTTGGAGTCTGCTCGTAAATAGAGAGATTTTACCCGGCTGCCATTTGGCAGGTGTTTGCCTAGTTATGGGGCAAGTGTTTTCAATCAAATGTGCGCCTTGGGTAATGCCTCGACCCACAGAATCTAGTCTGCTGCTAGCTGGCATGGAAAATATATATACATACCTACCATGTGCTTTCATAGACAAAGATTGCTCAAGTTGAGCAAGGAACAAATCTAAGCTGTGATTTTGTTTTGAAATTGCTCAACTCGTTTAGCTTGAGGTATGCGAGGCACTTTATAATCTTGGCATTACTTATGCACTTATTACTTAAGGCCAATTAGCTGCATTTTTTAATAGAGCTCATGGTTGTATAAAAAGCATTTTTAGTTTTAAAAGTAAGGTTCTTAGGTCTATCGAAGCTTATTTTGAATTATAGAAAAATTGCTGAAATGGAGTACGAAGACGATCCAGAATAGTTGTCGGCATTGCTGCGCTGCATTGAGTCGGGGCATTCAATATAAAGTCCTAAGTATGAGGCCTTGCAAGGCTGAGGCACTATCCTATGAATTACTATGGTTATAAACGATACTATATACTATATATGCATATATGGTATAAATGTCTCTAAAATAAAAGTCTACATCAAGCAATTTGTGATATATTTGCCATTACTTTATCTATTGCGCTTATTTGTTCTCTACAAATTTATTCAATATAATAAAAAATATAAAAATATTTAAAACAAGAATATAACCCTTTATTAGTCTTTTACATATATAAAATCATCTTCACTTGCTAACCTTTAAAGCTGGTCATGCCCGCCTGCATGATCTCGTCAGTGAGCAGCAGATTGCAGGCGATGATGGAGCAGGAGTTCAGTATCTGTTTCTTGACGCAGTAGTTGTCGAAGACGCGTCGCTCGTTTGGGTCCATGGGCTCGCCCGTCTCCAGATCCAGTCCGATCGGCTGCTTGGAGTCCTTGGCAGCCGTCGTCAGCTTCACAATGATATCCTGCACATCGAAGCCGCTGTTGATGGCCAACGTTTTGGGTATGACGAGCAGAGCATCGGCAAACAGCTGAACGCCCAGCTGCGCTTTGCCCTTGACCTCGGCCTTGAACTTGGTCAGCGTATTGTAGGCGAGCAGCTCGAAGGCGCCGCCGCCCGGCAACACGCAGGCATCCACAATGGCATTCTGTAGGGCATGCAGTCCATCGCGCACGGCATCCTTGATGGTCTCAGTCTGATGTTGCGAGGGCGCTCGAATCAATATGGTGACCGAGGTGGGATTGCGGCACTTCTGCACGAAAGTATACTTCGTTTCGCCTAGCTGCTGCTCATAGACCAGGCCCGCATAGCCGAGATGCTGTTCATCCAGTTCCTCCAGCGAGTGCAGGGCCTCGCCACCACAGGCACGCATCAGCCGTTCCATATTGCGGCGCTTGGCACGACGCAGTGCCAGAATGCCAGCTTCGGCAAATGCCTCCAACGAGGGTATATCGATGCCTTTCTGATTGATAACGACAAAGCCATTCTCATTGTCGCAGCACAGTCGCTTCTTCAGTTCGATAATCTTGGCCACGCGCCGATCGATGAAGCGATGCTCCTCAGCGACGCATTTGTCCCGCTCCTCGGCCGACTTGTAGCAGAAGGACGACTCCACGGACGTCTTCTCCAGCTCCAGCGACACATTGCAGGTGAGTATGTAGGCCTGCTCCAGGTGAGTCGGCATATTGGCGTGCCGCCCGCCGTGGTCCAGCACCAGCCCGTCCACCAGCTGTGTGTCCATCGTAGTGTACTGCTTTATATCCATTAGCTCGATCATATTGAGGTCCAGCAGCGTGTGGCTATCGCCACGAATGCTCAGCACGGCATCCACACAGATGCTGGCCAGCAGGTCAGCCAGGCCCCTATCCACTTTGGTCCTCAGGCTGGTCTGGGCCAGAGCCAGCAACGTTTCGCGCTCAATCTCGATCGGTATGCAGATGGACTGCAGCAGCTGCTGCGCTTGCTCCTTGGCTTGCATGATGCCCGTGGTGAGCAGGCGCGGATGCAGTCCGTCTGTAATTAGCATCTCCGCCTGCTTCAGCAGCTCGCCGATCAGCAGTACAGTCGACGTGGTGCCATCGCCTGTGGCAGCATCTTGTGCGGTGCTGGCCCGAGCGATCATCGATGCAGTCGGATGACAAAAGTGCATCTCGTGCAGCAGCACGTTGCCATCCTTGGTGATCTTGATGTCGCCAGCCGGCGAGACGAGCATCTTAGTGGTGCCTCTCGGCCCCAGGTTGCTGCCCATCAGCCGCTGCAAGCCCGTGCCAGCCGTGATATTAATGGCCAAAGCCTGAGCAGCGCGAGCCAATTGCGCCTTGGGATTCAACAGAGTTATGCTAGCCATCGCTAAATGGCTTTAAAAGTTGTTTATTTGGTTAAAAATCGAGTTAAGTTTTTTTATTTGATTTTCTGTCAACTTTTTCAATGCGAAAATAAACTGAATTTATATATCGAAGCGAACTGTCAACATTTGTTTGTGGCAAGGCAAATTTAAACATTGATAAGCCAATTTGATGTGGCTTGACAGCTCTAAGGGACCCCTGTCTTGACTCTTGTTTGCTTAATGATAACTAAATATTGATTATTTAGCAAGATATTTGAAATGAAAAAAAATTAGTTCAACAATTTAAATTGTAGGAAAAATTATAAAAATATGAAATTCTTGATGAAAATATTAGAATCCAAAAATTTTTTAAAATAACCGTTCGATTCCCAATATAAAAGATCATAAAACGATTATACCCTGATTTCCCATTTTCAATGGGTTCAGGGTATACAAAACTATATATAGCAAACGTTGCATTTATTTTATTTAAACTTAATTTTATAATTATTTAAAAATTTGAATAAATGTATAAAAGCTTTGAAACTATTGGAATATAAGATAAGAATGGCTTAAAAATTAACCAAACTATATTAAAAAATATTAAATTAAAATATTATAGTAAAAACGGTATTTTAAATTATATTTTTAAATAAATTCTGTTTTAAAAACCTTAAACAGAATATCTAAGACATCAAAGTGTTTGTGAGCTAAATTGTTACATATAAAATATATTTTTTAATAAAAACATTCCGAAAGTTTTAATGTCATAAAAAAAATTTAAATCCTATTTTTTACAATTTTGTAATATTATAAATAAATAAATAAAAGCTAAGCCTGAGCTTATGAATGTGTAAAATAATTAACATGTCAGGCCTAAACTGAGTTCAAATAGTGAACTGAGCCAGAGGCGCCTCAAGACTCAGTTTCTGCCTCAGACAATAACTTTTATTAAATATCTTCTAGGCAACTTTTTTATAAAAAATATAACAAACTAAACAAAACAAGACCTGAGTATATCCTTTTGTAAAACAAGTCGTTGCCTTGAGGCATAAACATGATTCAAATTGTAAACTGTAACAAAAACCTTTTAATTTTTTGCTCGAGCATTGTGGAGTTTTAATCAATAAAACTATAATTAAAATGAAAAGAAAAACCTTTATACATTTCCCGTGAAAGCAATATGACAAATTAATTTTATAAGCTTCCCATTTATTTTTACTCTGCCTCGCTGTGTCTCTCATTGCTTACTGCCCTCTAGTGTAGGTGCAAGTCGCACAGCTCGTTCTGAGCAGCTCGGCTGTCGTGTTTGCCAGATTGTCCAATCAAAATCCACTTGCAGCCAGGCAGCTAAGCTGTTAATAGGAATTACTTTTAGCTGTGGCTGCTCGCACTGACTGTGCTGCGCTGTGGTGCTCCAGCCGAACCAATAAGTCATGCCTTTATTATTATTTACAGCCTTCACACTCGACGAGCTCTGTGTGTTGAGTGTTGTGTGCCGAGGCGCTACTTTTTATGCTTTCGCAGCTTTTCTTGATTTTGCCTGCTGTGCTCGCCCAGCACTCACACTTATCACACTTAATTTCATTAAGTAATTTTTCATAGTGCAGCTTTTATTGAGTTTTAAACTGGCAGAGCGCATAATGCCAGCGAGTGAGAAAGGCAAGAAGAAAAGAAAGAATAAAAGAAAGAGGAAGAGAGAGAGAGAGAGAGAGAGAGAGAGAGGGAGAGAGAGAGAGACATTGAGCTGTGCTTGGCTTTTATATAACGCATACGCCATGTGTTCGTTCGTTGGCATTGTCTGGCGCTGCTCGGTGAGCTTTTGTCCCTGCAGCAGCTCTTCCGTTAGCATTTACTCATTTTACGCCTTTTGTTTACGGCCACTTGTTGCATTTCCTATTGTCTTTGGCTTGTTTGCCTTGTTGTTCTTTCTTTTAATTGCCGTCTCGTTGTCATTAAGCTCGGCTGCTTTCAATTGTAAATCACTTTCATTTTCAACTTTTCTACTGAATCAAACTGAATTAAATTAAAAACTTTAATTGTATATCCCTCGGGGTATTTATTGTATTTTATTTTATTTTGTTTTTCATTTATTCTTTAATATTTGTGCAAATTATTTCCGTTTAGTTTTTTGCTGGAATTTCATTTTGTGACTGGCCCAGTTCATTTAACACCAAATTCTGCGATACATCTATTCTTTTGTTTTCTGTTAAAAAAAAAGTGTTTTGATGTTTTGATAAAATTTAAAATTTCTTTTTTTACAAATCTTGCTCCGTAAACAGCGCAGTTCACTGTGATTGCATACCCTATAATTGCACTATGATTTCATAAAGTGAATTTGTTGATGCTCACATTTCATTGATTTCAAAATTTTCGCATTTCTTTTATAATTATATTTACATATTGCCGATAAAATGGCAATTCTTATTAAATATTTTGCACATTAGTTTGTTGCCGATAACTTTTCTTAAACAGTATCACACTTGTTGAGTCAGCATCTTTAGAGGGCATCTGTTCATCGGATACTCTCGAGTATTAGGTGCAGCCTTGTTGTTTGCCAACTGAAATGGCATTCGAAAGGTTCAGAAAAAATGAAAATGTTTTCTATTATTTTTGCTCCTATTTCATTTTTTTGTTTATGAAGAGAAACGTATTTTAGAATTGAATTTTGAGCCAAATACGGGGGCATTCGCTGCGTGCATCCACCTCTTCGCGCTATTGTTTGCTGCAATGTGAGCGAAAACAAAAACGGAAAAAGATGTGATGGAAAAACTGGCGGCATCTGGACGTGATGTTAGCATTCCAAAATTTGAGCTTACTAATTGAATTTATGGCTATGAGACATGTATAGCTTGCTAAGAAGCTTATAGTTCAATTACGATTTGCCTAATAAAAATTATGTTTTTTGTTTTTGTTGTTAAAATTAGTACATGAACAGCAAATGAGTTAGTTATATACCTACGTATTACGTAATGTAACAAATTAAAGTAAAGACTAACGTATCAACTTTACGAAACCACGTAACGCAATGACGTTACGAAATTACGTAATGTAATGACGTAACGGAATGACGTAGTGGAATGACGTAACGGAATGACGTAACGGAATGACGTAACGGAATGACGTAACGCAATGACGTAACAGAATGACGTAACGGAATGACGTAACGGGATGACGTAACGCAATGACGTAACAGAATGACGTAACGCAATGACGTAACGGGATGACGTAACGGAATGACGTAACGGAATGACGTAACGGGATGACGTAACGGAATGACGTAACGGGATGACGTAACGGAATGACGTAACGGAATGACGTAACGAAATTACGTAATAAAATGACGTAATGAAATGACGTGACGTAATGACGTTACGCAATAACGTTACGCAATAACGTTACGCAATAACGTTACGCAATAACGTTACGCAATAACGTTACGCAATAACGTTATGTAATAACGTTACGCAATAACATTACGCAATAACGTTACGCAATAACATTACGCAATAACGTTACGCAATAATGTTACGCAATAACGTTACGCAATAACGATACGTGAAGACAGCTACCGAAAAACGAAGAAATAACTTGACATATTTAGTTTATTTTAGTTTCATTTTCTTTAGTTCTTATGCGGTCTCCTGAAGAGCGAGAGAGCTACGTATACAGCATAAATAGCTCCAGCATGGCCACAAGCCGTGTATTTATTTAAACACCCATTGCTTAAGCAAATGTTCACTTAAGACTCATATGCTTACTTGCTTACTAAACCAAGCTTAAGTCATGATAACTAATTTAGCCTTCCTTAACCCATTAAGAGCATTTTCTCACTCTTATCAGCTGATCATGTTTGATGCAACCTTTTTTGGGCTTCAAAGTGCCGTTAAGAAGCATCCGTCCGCCTTATCTCTACAGTCCCTTTTCGCACTCTTATCACTTGATAAATGTTGATAAATTTGGCAGCTTTATATAAAAATAGAACGAATAATGCTTATTATAAAGCTCAACTGGTGAATGGCAGACTTTTAGTGCATAATTAGTTCGTGCTGTAAAAGATACTTCGTGGGACAACCTTCGAGCGGGCAGGAGGAGGGGCGGGCGGGTCAGCTTTTAGGCAATTTATTGCGAAGTGTCGTGCCTGGAATAGAGTTGGTCAAACGGACAGCTTGGCTGACCAATCGGCGATTGGTGGCAACCGCTGCAAATGAGTTAAGTTAAGTTTGGCGGCCGGCAAACTTTTCATAACTTTTCTGCTAAGAAGATGCGGACCGTTGCGTTAATTGGAGCTGCGGGATCCACTAAGCGCCGCAGCGCCACAGAATACAAAGTTTAACGTCGGCTGATTAAGCCGTCGGGAGGCCCAGCCGAAGAAACAAAGCAAGCTCGCTGTGTAATTATCTTGATGAGATTCGCTTGGCCAGTCGAAGGTGACCCGAACCCTGACCCTGCTGCTGCTGCTGTCGCTGCTGTGGGTTCATCAACCGTTGCGTCGGGCCAAATTAAGTTATGTGCAGTGGAACGAAACGCTTGACATGTCTTCCCCTAATAAGCTAAATGAAAACAAAAATGTCAGCCGCCAAGTCGCTCGCAAATTGACGGCAAAGTAACCTAATAACTTTTAACCCGCACAATAATTGGAATTTATGAGTCATTTCTTCAAGCAGCGCTTCAAAGAGGCCATTGGCCCATTCACTCCCAGCTGCTCACTGCGTTGTCAAACAGACTCGTCGCCTGTGTTAAGCAATGCGCATAAAGTACCAATACAAGGGTTATGGTCAACGCTTTGCTCTGGACCCAACCTCAAGCCTTTTTTTTCGCAGCCGGCGACCAAATAGCAAAGTGTTGGCAAAAGAAAAAAAATGAAGAGGAAAAGTTTGCGCCAAGTTTAAGTGCTTTTAAAAAACCATTAACGTCATTTCCTGTGCTGTCTGTGCTGCGGCGACTGCGACGCACTTGCCTTGGCCAGCCTTGACTGACTAGCAGATACACTAAGCGCAGCTTCTAGATGTCTTATGGCCTTACTGCAACACGTCGGCCTATAGATGAAATATTGTTATTGAAAATGGTGTCACAGCTGCCAGGTTAGGAGATTAGGCATTATGGATTCAGCACAAGACAGACTAGCTAACGTTAGTACTCCATGGCTACGCCCTGCTATCAGATGTTCATTCAGTGGAAGAAAAAGGAAATAGAGAACCCTTTAGGTGAGCATATTCCAACTTTACTTTACACTCACATCAAACTGATGCACTACAAACGAAAATTTTGAAATGGCTACAGCAGAGCAGTACATTGCTTAAGGTTTCTGGACCAAACGGTTTTTGGGCTTTGATTTACAGCGTACTTCTGGTCAATTGAGCCGAGAACAGAAGCATTTTTAGCTGTCGTTTTAGCCTGCGGCTTCGCGGTCCAACAGCGCGTGAGATCTGGCCTTTTGGCGCTGCGCATTGGTCTCGTAGCCAAAACGCTGCAATCTCTGCCACCTGAAGCTCTGATGGAGGTGCTTCTTTCTGCTAGATTCTGGTCTGGTGCCGACTTGATATCTGTGTCGTATGACTTGCAAATATCACTGAAAGAGCAGGCACTGGCCGGATCCTCCTCGACCGGCTGCTTCACGGGCACAATAGTTGGACAGGAGAGCTTAATGCTGCCAGCTGGCAGCTGCAGCTCATCACAGTTGTGGTCAGTTGGTAGGTTTTCTATGGCGGGCAAGCCGCGATACTGCACAAGTTTCATCGGATACTCCGAGACGCATTTCGCCAATGGACGCTCCTCTGCTGCCATTTTGGCGATCTTCAGCCTATTCTCGTAGATTCTGTGATGCGCTTTGTTCTCCTCGGTTTTGCATCTCTCGCGATGCTCGTACTTGTTAAACGCCAGCTGCGCTTTGGACACGTAGCCAGGCCAGCAGTAGTCGCGAATTTGGTTTCTGCGCACCACTTGGCCGTCGGGCACCATGTCAATGTGGTTCTCGCGCTTGTATATCTCCGCCGCCTTGGCTAACGGGTATAAGGGTCGACCCGTTTCCTTGCAATTGTCCATGGCTTGGGCAGCTGCCTCGAAATAGTTGACATCATCTTCCAAATTGGGATCTTCTTCGCAGGCCGTGATGCGCAACAGCTCGCCTTGACGCTGCGCCAGGACCTCGTCGCGTTGGCCATGCAGTATGTTGCGCAGCTCCAAGGTTTCTTTATCCCGCTGCCTTTTGGCACAGGCTGCAAACTGCTTATTGGCCTTGTCGTTTTTGAGCCGCGTCGCCAACTCAAAGCGTTTAATCTCCGCCTTGCGCTGCTGCTTCTCTCTCTCTTGCTGTTGATATTCCTGATCGTATTGACGCCGCTCCTTGGACAGCTTTTCAATCTGAAGTCTTCGCTTCAGCTCGTCCGCCTGCTCAGCCAAATTAAAGTTTTCCACTTCCTTCTCGTGCAGCTGCATCAAGTGCCGTTGCTTCGCCTGCTCTATCTCGCAGTGCTTCTTAGCGAAGGCCTCCAGGTGACGCATGCGCTCCTCATGCATCTTCTTCCTTTGATTGTTATAGCGAGCGTCCATGTAGCGATGAGACGCTTTGTTGACGCAAATAATTCGATCGTCAACAGCATCGGCCATTTTCTCAACTGTGTATTGAGGCGCACTTAAAGATTAAGGAAATCGAATTGTTTGATTTTTACTTACATCTGGCTTTCTCTGCTTTCTCCTTTAGGGAGTCGCGATAGGCATCTAGGCAGAATTGACGCTTCTTTTCAAGCAGCTCCTTTCGTGCTTTCTCTTCCTTCTCCTGCAAGCATTTATGTCGCTCGCGCTCAACAAGGGACTCGACCATCTCCTGCTCCTTTTTAGCTTGTTTGCGCTGGCGCTGCTGCTCCATAACCTTTAGGAAGCTAACTCGCGCGTCGTTCATCTTGACCAGCTGCTGCGCCTTATCCTGCTCCTCGGTGACAGTGCCAAATGGTATAAGGGCGGGTTGGCATTGCTGCTCGTCTAAGCTCTGCTGATGTCGTGCAGCTTCCGCGAACTCCGCATTCAGCGCATCATTGTATTTGCGTTGATAGATCAGTTCGGATTCGATTAGGCCCTGCTGCAGAGCCCGCTGACCTGGCTTCAAGGTGTTCAACAATCGGTTGGCTCGTATAATGCGTTCGGTACGCCTGAGTTCCGACAGTTCCACCGTCTGTCTGTCCTTTGTCGACTCGGCCAAGGCTTTGTCTCTGGTCGCCTGCTTCTCTTCGTCGTCCTTGACAATTGTATCAACCATGTTGGTGAAACGCTTCATGAGTGCCGCGTTGCCATTTTTAAGGTATTCCTTATAGGCAAGCTCCTCCTTGATGGCCTGCAAGTCCTCTTTGCGGTCCTTCAGCGTTGCCCGGTCGATGAGGCCGTTGAAATGTTCAGCTGATAAAACCACGGGCTGAGTACTGTGGTGTAACCGTTGCCGCTTTTTAAGCACCAGCTCTGCCGCACAAGCCCTATTCAGCCTCATTCTGTATTCTGTATTCTATATTCTGTACTCTGTGTTGTTGAGCCGCAACTAATACACGACGTTAGCGGAACAGAAACTTAAACAATTGTGTAATGTGTAGTGTGTTTGATTTTTATCTGAGTACTATTGTTTAGCTTTAAGTTTTTATGCCTGTCATTGATTTTGAGTGAATGTTAAGTTGGAATAGGTCTACAATACAATATAATCTATTTATATTTTTCTTTTTCACTTTTCTAATAAAGGTCATATCGATCTTATAGATCTTATAGATTTTATAGATCTTATAGATCTTATAGATCTTATAGATCTTATAAATCTTAGAGATTTTATAGTTGTTATAGATCTTATAGATCTTATAGATTTTATAGATCTTATAGATCTTATAGATCTAATAGATCTTATAGATCTTATAGATCTTATAGATCTTATAGATCTTATAGATCTTTTAGATCTTATAGATCTTATAGATCTTATAGATCTTATAGATCTTATAGATCTTATAGATCTTATAGATCTTATAGATCTTATAGATCTTATAGATCTAATAGATCTTATAGATCTTTTAGATCTTATAGATCTTATAGATCTTTTAGATCTTATAAATCTTAGAGATTTTATAGTTGTTATAGATCTTATAGATCTTATAGATTTTATAGATCTTATAGATCTTATATTCTTATAGATCTAACTCTGAAGAGAGTGAACTGTGATACATCTGCAAAATCTGCTCTAAAAGAGTACTAAAATTAGTTAACAACTTTCTAAGTCATATCAAGATCAAAACTTTAGAACAAAGTTAATGAAGCTCAACAAGTTAATGCCAATCTGTTTAATTTGAGCTCAAAAGGTAAGCGTGGCAAGTGTTTCTGCAGTAAGAAAAGCAACTTTTACCTTTGGTTTTTTTTGATATCTTTGCTTTTTGCTTTGGGTCGGACCCTCTGGAATTGGATAAACCTCAATTAGTGTTTTTGGCTGCTTAATCAAATTAGGCAAAGCCTTGGCAGCTAGGCCGAGGCCGTCCAGTTCGGGTCCAAATGCTGTGAAATCCAATTCCCAGCTGGCGGAAAATTATACAAAAAAGAAAATTCAAATGAATGCGAAAGAAAAACACAGTCGGCCAGAGTAAAGTTGACTTTCATGCGAAAAGTTTTTTGTGAAAATCGCTGGGCGTGAATTTCTGCGCTCAGAATGTGACGCTCCAGGTGAGGGGCGCGCGGACGGCGGCGCTGTGCTGGGCATGGTGTTTCAGCTGTGGGCGTGATCCCTAGCCAAACACCGCCGATTATTGTTACAAAATGCAGCGGGCCGTGTAATTTTTTTGGGGCATGGCGGAACACGCAGCGGGACTCAAAAAATGGAAATTCAAACTCGCAATGGCATTCGCATTCAGATTCGGATTCAGATTGAGATTCAAATAGCCCAAAAGAAGCCGCCGACGCGGCGAACTTTCCAATGCCCAGTGGGGACTTACATGGGGGCGTGGCCGTGCGGCAGACCTGGGACATCCTTCTGGTTGCCTTCTGGCTTCTGGAAATTGTTTTGTGAAAATTAGTTTTGAAACTTTTCGCGTTCTCGTTTTTTGGTTTGGTTTGAGTTTTTGTCCTAAATTTTTTTGGATGGCAAATGAAAATCTTAGCGCAGCATGCGAAATTAATTTGCATTTGGGTTTGCGTTCACGTTATCATTCTATATCCTCTTTTTATTTCGGCCGGGGCGAGCCAATAAAAATCAAATTTAAATAATTTTTAATTTATTTAGCTTCACTTTTCCTGCTCATTTTATAGCGAGTGTAAGTGTGTGTGTGCGTGTTTGTGTGTGTTTGTGTTTTCTATTGGGATTTTCTTTTGCTCATTTTGCCTGTTGCCTTTAAACGCTTTCGTTGTAATTGCTTTTAAATGGTTCGAGGCAGCGCAAACTGTTTGGCAGTTGGAAAAACTTTTTCATTTCAACATTTTCATGTGATAATTTGCATGAACATTTTGACCGCTGATGACCTCAAAAAAATATGAAAAATAAATTATATATATAAAATATAAATTCGTATAATATATATAACCAATCAAATTGTATTTTGAAATTTTTATTTATTTAAACTTTATTGCATTCCATTTAAATCCAGTTCACAATTCACATTATGGCAAATATTTTTGGTTTGTTTTATTTTTTGTTAATATTTGTTATTACATGCATTTATTTATGTTTCAAATATTTCCTTGTCTAAACTAAAATTTTCTTAGATTTGCATTTAACTATTGTTGTTTAGCTACACAAACACGATGAGTCCATACAACATCATCAACTCACTTAAATTCATGACAATCACAAAGTTAGGATTTGATTTGGATTTTATATTTTCGTGCAGTTTTGATTTCGGTTTGATTGATTGACGTATATATATGATATATATATGATATATATATGATATATATATATATACTTGTTTTAAATGAAACATGTTTTGAAGGATTTGAAAGGGGAATCAGAATAGTTTATATATAGCTTCATTAGTTTCAGTTTTAAGGGGAAGTCTACAGTCTCTATGAAGAAAAGTTCACAATAATTTTCTTTATACAACTTACTTGCATATTTATACAATAGATTAGCTCCGTCTGGACAGCATTGCATACAATTCATTGCCTAAAGTAGCTGCAGTTGGAGTTGGCAAACAAATCAAGTGGAGAGTGTTAATCGGGCTTACATTATGTATAAATATATCTACCAATATTACATATATTTATGTATTTATTTAATTAGTTAGACATTACACACATACATACATACATACAGATATATATGACACGCATTAATATGATTTAATTTCGGTTCGATCTTAGTAAAATTGTATCACAAACATACATCAAATGAACACTTATTATGCTGAAACTGGTCGCATTAATTGCTTTTAATATTTCGAGTTGGAGCTCAATAAACTAAAAGAGTTTTTTTTATTTATTTTTATCTATATCTTGATTTTTATTTATAGCTAAAGTTTTTGAAATTAAGTTTCTGAAAATACTTTTAACTTTAAAATGTAAATTTTTAAGCTGTTATTTTTTTATTGATAATGCATGTTAATTTTCTTTAATAAATTATTTAAAAAAATGTAATAAAATAAAATCAGTTTTTAATCACACAATAGTTGCGATTTATTTTTAACAAAAATATTTTAAATTTTGAGTAAGTAAAGTTTTTTTGTGTATAAAAAGCTAATAAGAAAAAAACTTATAAATAAAAAAAAATTATATAAAAAAATATATTTAAATAAATACGAAATTGTTTTGTATGTTTAGCAGAACATATATATTTTATTTAAATTTATTAATATGTATATATATATTTTTGGTATTACCACAAGTTTATCAGAAAGTTAACGATCAAAGAAGAATTGCGTTAAATAATTATTAACAATATAAATTTGCTTATTTATTATAATATATTTTGAAAGTATTCAGAAAACTTGAAATTATAATTGAATAAAAACAGTATCTGATTGGATTAGCATCAGCATAAATATTTAGTTGACTGGCTTCTAGTCAATGTTGGCCTAAAATTAGACTCAGCAAACGCCTTAAGCTCTAAAGGAAATTCTCTAATTGCAGATGCTGTATACATCAGTTTCACAGAAGCCTTTCAACAATTGCCAATCATTCATATCATGTATTGGCCATTGGCCAAATCAGCTTTAGCCTAGCCGGAAATGTGAACTAAAATATTGTTAACTGATTTGTTGATTTACTGAGAGCTACAACTTTTCAAGTTAGACTTAGACGCTAGGAGACATGCGCAATATTTAGATAGACACACACACACATACATTCATATATATATATATATAAATATATGACTACTTGACGGTTAGACCCAGCAGATGAACTAATCCTAACTAGAAATTTATTTGCGAAACTCGGCCATTGACTCGCCGGCCAGGGCCATCGAAGGCGGAGGGCTGTGACAGGCGACGCGGACGCGGCTCAGGCGCAGGCTGCCCGTGTGATGGGCAGCGTGTGGAGCGTGGAGCAGGGCACGGGATTGGGCCTGCTGGTGCAGTGGGTGGTGTGCGCACTTGGCCTGCCGCGCCAGTTGGCTGTTGGCGAGTATGACGTCCTCTGCGTACTAAATGTCCGGAATGCTACGCCCGGCAGCCAGCTTGGCGGCCACAGTGGAGACGGACGCGGCAGCTGGGGCGGCATCTGGTGCGGCGCCGAGCAGTTTGCTCTTGGCGCAATTGGCATCGTGGAATAGATGCTCGCAGAGCTTCGGCTCGGATGTGGAGAACTTGCTCAGCTCGGCGGCGGTAGTTTCCTGTGCGGCATTAGTTGACATATTCAAGTGCAGATCGCTGTGCTTGGTGAACGAGGTGGTCTGATGCTGCTGCGGCTGATGCACCTGATGCACATGCCCATGGACACCCACGCCGCTGTGCTGATGGTAGGGAAAGTGCGGGAAACTCTTTTGCATGGCATGCAAATTGCCCGAGCTGACGGTGCGTTCCAAGATCTCGCCCCAATACTTTTCCGAGAGACCCTCAATGTCGGGGCGCACTGTGGCATAGCCATCACTGGCCAGCTGATGGGCATGGCCGCCGCCCAAAGTGCCTCTGATGTACTGCGAGGCGCTGCGACTCAAGCTGTTCGCTCTGGAGCGTGCGCAAATGCCCAGAACAGAGCCGCCAATGGCGCTGCCAATGCCACCACCGCCGGCGCCAGAGCCAGCACCGCCACCACCACCAGCACCACTGGCACCGCCATTGTTGGCCGGTGGCCGTGAAGCGGGTGGCTCTGGCGGCATCGGTAGCGTTGTGATTTCAAAGTCGTTAGCATTGATGTGACAACAGGCTGATTTGTGTTCGGGCGTATCCTCTTTAGGGAAACACTGAAAGCGAGCAACAGAAAGAGGAGGAGCGTGAGTGTGTGGGATGGAGAGTATGTAAAAGCATCATAAATCTGGCGTTAGTTTCGAAATTAATAAGTATTTTTAGCTCGCATTTGTAGCACACTATCCAAATCATGCTGCTGAGTTACAAAATTGTGCAAATTTCGTGACGCGACACGAAAAGTTTTCAGCTCTTTCGATGCTTCAGTTTTTGATTAAAAATAATATTTATATATATTTTTAAATTCTCACTTGTTTAACTTAGCAACTTAAAAATTGAGAAACAAAATATTTAGTTTTTAAAATATTTTTATTTCACTATTTATTTTTTTAAAAATTATAAAATCTATAAATTATTAAAAAATAATAAATACTAAGCCGTTTTAACCTTAACCAATTCATACTTTTATTTATCGCCTTTGCTTAAGCATATAAAACTTTTTCCAATTGAGGCTTAACTTTTGGCTATATATATAAATTTTATATATATACATATATCATTTATTATATAAAAAAATAAATTATGTTTCATAATATAATGCAGCACTAATAAATATCTTTTGACTTGCTCTTTATTATTCCCCAAGGGACAATCTAGAGCTTACATTAACTGAACTTCCACTTTGCCTTTTATTTAGAATTATTTCAGGCTCGCAGCAAAAGGAAAAGCATAAAATTAATTTATATATATATTGAGCTACAGTCAGAGTTAAAATCAGCAATGAAGACCAGATCAGCTTCATTCATTTGCATATTCCTAAGTAAATTTTCGCTGTTGAGCAGCAATCAACACTGAATTGAAATGAAATTCTTCAAAATTGCTGGCAAAAAGAAACAATTTCTTCGGATTCTCTTCTTCAAAACACATTGGACACGCGCTCATCTCTAGCTATAAATTTGGCTCATAAATTTGTTGGGAATGACCTCAGTCGGTGTTTGAGTTGTTCGGAAGTAAATCATGCAACTTGACTGCGCTTTCCGAAAACGAATTACGAATTTGCCTGGCCTTATTTTGTGCTGTTCGCATTCTATCAATAAAGCAAGTGAGTTTACATATTTAGCAATGTTCAGGGCAGACTGGAGGGCGTGGCATGCAAACGCCGCTTTCGGTTTGCTCTTTCATAATTCAAAATCACTTTTCACTGTTTGCGCTTACAGTTGCTGTTTGTTTGTTTGTTTGTTTGGACGCCGGAGCGCATATCCTGCACGTCTATGTTAGCTAGCACCTTTTGGATTTATGGCCCTTGGCTGGTCCCGTACGCAAGGTCCTTGCGTAATTCGGCTTTGGCTGTGGCATTCTGACAGCACAGCCACCCGAAATCCCTCAATGTATGTGCAGCTTTTGTGTTTGACTTAACGACTTCAAAGCAGCTCGACTAGCTGCATTTACTATGTCAAAAAAACCTGTGCTAGAAGCTGCTGCTTAATGTTGGGGTCACTAATCACTCAAACAAGGGCAACTAAAGCAACGTCAATTATTACTCAGACGAAACTCGAGCAGTTTAGTGGAAAAATTTAAGCAATATTTAACAAAAAAATTCTTTAAATTATAAATAAGAATTTAATAGGTTTTTCCCCTTAACTAAAAATGCCTCGTCTATGCCTTCGTTTTTAAATGACATTAAATTTGTTTTAGCTTCTGCAAGGCAACAACTAAAAAAACTGTGAAAACAATACTCACAAGTAGAAGCATCACAAAGGCACACGTCTGTGTGTGTGTGAAAGCGAGAAGCTTAACAATGTTCGTAACTTTATGGGCCAAGTGAATAGTCAAAAAACTTACTTTGTTGGGCATCAGTTGTCGGCTGAGGCGACGAAAATCTGAATTTAGCAGCCAGTACATGAAGGGATTCCACAGGCTGTTGCTCAGAGATGTCCAGGTAACGACGAAGTCCAGGAACGGTGGCAGCTGCAAGAGTGTTGGCACAAGAAAAGGAGGAGCACAAGATAAGCGAAACGCAGATAATAATAATAATATGAATGGGGCGGGCTGACGTGGCGTATGTGTCAATTAAGCATATTACGTATGCGACCCGTGGGCGGCGTTTGCATGCACATGTAAGCAAATACTTGCCTTGGAGCCAGTGCAGGCGGTGACTATCTCCTGTATTGTCCACGGCGTGACCATAACAATGAAGCCCAGCGAAATTGCCGCCATCGAACGGGACGTGTTGCCGCTCGAGTTCTTCTCCTGTATGGGCACAATCTGCAACAAATGGGCATCGTTTAGCAATCTAATTAAAGGCACGACATAAAACGTAAACTGGTTGAGGTAGTCCACATGTGTGGGGCATGTGGCATATGCATGCAAATACAATTTCAATGTAAGTGAGAATTAGTTGAATGTGCTTCGATTTAATTGCGTTTTTAATGTGAATAAAATCTGTTTTATATTTAAATTTGAATTTATGTGTACAATAGGAGATATGCAGTATAAATAGTTAAATAAATATTGAATACAAATTATTCAATAATTTATTCAAAACTAAAAAATATGGCAAAATTGTTTATTAAGTTCGAGTGATTGGAGTTTTTTAACTAATTTTATATGTGAACAATGGAATGAAAATAAATTTACTTGTGATTTACACTTTGATAATTATTATATTTAATTCCAATTTATTTTTATTAAATTTTTTTTTATTTTTAACATATATTTATATTAAAATAAATAATATGTAACATTGAAATTTATAAAATAAATTAAATATAAAGAATTATATAAAGAAAAGAATAAAATATTTAATTTTAATGTAAAGTTAAAAAAAAAAATAAATATTTTTTAAAAATTTTGATTTTATTTATGTAAAATTAAAAATTTTGAATTGTTTGATTGGAAATAATAAATATATTATATATAGATCTATATATAAATATAAAGCCAAGCTTAAATTTAATTTCAATTTAAATTAAAATTCGATTAGATTTCATCAAGATGTCAGCTCGTACTCACCTTTTTGGTAATCTTGTTTGTCATGCTTGGCATTCCGACCAGGCCCATGCTCATGGCCATGCTTAAATGGTTCATAACCGGTGCTCGATGATGATGTGGATGATGCGAGTGTCCATGGCTGCCATGGCCAAATAAGTGGGCGGACTGCTGATGTTGCTGCTGCTGCTGCTGCTGCTGGTGTTGCTGATGCTGGTGCTGATGTGGATGCTGGTGCTGATGCTGATGCTGATGTTGATGCTGATGCTGATGTTGGTGCTGATGCTGCTGCAGTTGCTGCTGAGGCGGATGGTGCGGATGTGGATGATGTGCGGCTGCTGTGAGCGGCATTGTTGGGTCGTTTAGGCGAAAGCGACTCATATGGAAGCTGGAGCCGTAACAGTACATCAACACCATCGTGGTGGGAAAGTACAATGCACATGTGGACAGAATGCGGTACGAGGGCTTGCTGTAGAACGGCTCACACGCCATCAGCCCCGTGTTGTTGAAATAGTAGCCTAGATGCATAAATATATATGGAGAGAAGCGTCAAATGAGCAGCTGCATTCGATGGCCAGTGCAACTGGGTGTGACTCTGACGAGCACTCACCTTTAGGCAGCACCAGAAATCCAAACACCGTCAGGCTGATAATCCATGTTAAGCTCAATATGGCAACACAGCCCTGCAAAACACACACATGAGATAGATGTATGTAACGGTTGTTTAGTTGTTGTGGTTAGAGTTAGGTTTAATTTGCTATTCACAGTACGCCCCACCGTGACCTAACCGCAATGTTGGCATTAGACATTGCCACATACTCAGAGCAAACCCTCCCACTCCCGCACCCATTCAGCCGTTTGTTTGATTTATGGCTGGCATGGAATTATGTGCTGTGATTTGAAGTCATTCTGCTGCGCTACATTGCAGCTGCACGTTCTGCTCTAATCCTAATTACCCATCAAAAGTCAATCTTCTATATGCTCTAAGCGTGCCAGCTCAATGGATGTGCACACAAAAATCCATTTGCCCATTTGGTTAAGCGAAACTAAAACTTTATCAATGCAGCATACAAAATGTTCGCTTCAGAGCTTCTATAAATCTGTTAGCCTCATTTTATTATTGGCTGCATTTTGTAATTGAACCTTAATTAAATTCGTTTTTTTAGAACTTTTAGAAAAATATGAAAAAATAATATTAAATATAATAAATATTTTCCTATAAAATAACTTTTAAGCAATGAAATGTTACATATTGACTCGATTTTTGCTCTTGGCTAATAATATGTTTATATGGTTGACCAAGCCTCCTTTTGACTGCTACACATATTTTAATCAAATTTTATTCCACATTCCCATTAGATCTAATAGAAAATATTTCTGCTTAGGCAAATATTTTATTTTTTATATTTTTAGGTTAATTAAAATTCAAGCTTAATCAACTTAAATTATATTTTATTGCCATCGGTATTAATGAAAAATGAGTAAATTTTAATTAATAAATTTACAAAAAATAATTAAATGGATTTTTTTTATATATGTAGAGTTTTGAGTATTTTTTATGAATTTATTAATTATTTTTCAAGCATTTTTGTTTAATATACAGATATTTATATTTATTGGTAGAGATGTGAATATTTTTTGTAAATTTATTATTAATATACAAACGCTTTTCATAAATAATGAAGGCAATTAAAGACTATATATATACATATATATGATTAATGTGATTTGCAATAAGAACAAGCCGGATATTCAATTAGGTTCAAAGTTATTTGGCAGCAAGTACGCGACTTAACAGCCTTGAAAGTAATGCCAACTGAGATCTGTTTGAACTAAAACTATCTTTTATACAAACATAACTATATTTGCTAATGACCTTAAAAAAGAGTTTTATGCCAAAGGATTTTTGCCTTGGAACATTGCCTTTGGTGAATAACATCAAACAAATGTAAGAGTGAGAGAGAGAGAGAGAGCAAGAGGAAGAGCGAGAGAGATGGGTATACCTTCAACAAATAAATATTTAAAATAAAAAGCGAAGGGCAACAGCAAATGGAATTAAAAACTTTTGATTACGTTGAAAACATTGGGCAGGGCCCGACCACAGGCGGGCACACAAAACGAAACATTTGCGAAGGGCTGACTCTATCATAACTGACTAGCTAACTGGCAGACTGACAGACTGACAAACTGACAGTTGAACTGGCAACTGAAATGAGAACATTTCAGAGCACTTGAAGCCACTTGCAGCAGTCAGACAATCAGACGGCCAGACAAATAGACAAATTTTGAACTTTCAACTTGTGTTTTAACTTCTTTTATTGTTTATTTAATTCACGCTATTATTTTCTACACAACTTTCAACTGTAAGCGATCAGCCGGTGCCAGCAGCTGAATTCATTCATTCAATCTGCCATGCAAAAAATATGCAAATTTATGACAACTGCGACTCATTCTTTTCCTATTAGCCCAATGATGTATGCAAAGCTAATTAGGCAGAAGCAAATAAAAAATATGGGGAAAATTATGAACCATATTAAAGTAAGAGCAGTAATAGAAAAGGAAAAATTAATTTAATAATTATAAAAAAAAACAGAAAATGGAGACATAAATATTAATTGAGAAAGTCAAAGGAATGCAGCTAAAAATAACATTTATAAAATTAAAAAATAAGAAAATATAGGTAAAAATATATTTAAAAAAAAGGACTTTCTAATAATATTAAATAATAAATATAAATTAAATAAAATATTATTTGTATAATAATAAATATAATAAGAAATAATTTAATGAAAGCAAATAAATAATAAAAGAAATAATTTATCGAAGACAACTCTGAGTCAAATAGACATAACATAAACAAAATAAAAAGCTTGATAAATAAAAAGAAAGTAAGACTTTTAATTTATAAAAGAATTACGAATAAATACCGTTACTTTCGCTTAGATTTAATTTGTCTTTGACGGGTTTAAAGACATGAATTCAATACGCAATTTGCGGCTTCACCACTCTCCGAGACTTAGAAGTCTAGCAAAAAATGCTCAGTCGAATTTCATAATTATCAGCTAATTATTCGAACATAATACGAGCAGAAGTATTCGCTTGCTTCAAAAAGAAAATAATAATAAAAGAAAATGTGAAGAGGGGAAAAAAGATTTGATAATATTTTGTTCAAGAGGAAAGTTTTCAGTTATCATAAATTAAGCAACATAAATTTCGCGTTGCAATTTATGGGCAGTGCCAATAAAAGCCGAGAGTAAGGCAAGAGAGAGGGAGAGGGAGCCAGAGTAAGAGAGAGGGAGAGGGAGAGGGAAAAGGGCGACGTGGAGCCAACAAATTGCGTAGCTGGAGTGTCAGTCGCTTCGGCTGGCGGCGTCAGATTCCATTTATTAATTTTCGACATTGCACACTTTATTACAATGTGGGCGTGGCTGTGCGCCAATTTCGCCAACAACAGCCAAGGATTGCACGCAGCACAGCAGCCTCGAAAGAAATAAAAAACAAAATAATTGAAAGGAAAGCAAAGGCAGAAGGCAAAAGGCAAAACGCAAAAGGCTGAAACCCAATTTTATGCAAATATTTTCAACTAATATTTTTTTGCTTTGTTTTTACCATTAACTTTTGCATTTCGAAATTCGCATGTGCATAAAAATTTGGCTGCGTGCATTTCCTGGCTTTTCCTGGCATTTCCACAAGAATTTGCACACTTTAAAGCGCGGCAAAATCAAAGTAAATATTAGCTTGGCATCCTACTAATTTAGTGCATACTGTAATAATAATGTTAAATTGTAAGAAATTTCTTAAAGGAAGAGGAAGAGAGAGAGACCGAGAGGGGCAGCTGGTTTAAAGGCAAAGTTTTCGCTTGCTGCTGTCAAAACGAACATTTCCAATAGGAATTCCCAGTTGATAAATCGAATAAGAAAAAGTTTCTGACTAGCGTTGCCACCTTGCAATGCTCGTGCAATAGCTGCAGCAGCGCAAAAACACGTAAGCGTAAAGCAGATTACGATTGACAGTTGGACATAAGTTGTATAAGAAATATATAAGACTTGTAGAAGAGTTATGCCAGCTGGCCAGGACACTGTGGCGCAAAGCACTAAGAATAAGAATGAATTGATATAAAAGGATTTATTATAAATTAATTAACGTTTAAAAACTGCTTTATTTAAATAAAACATTGTCACAACTGTCATTTAGATCATCTATTACATTTGTATCCTGCAGCTGATCTGATAATCACCTGTTTTACTGTTATCCTCTCATTTAGGCTTATCAATGGATTTTTTTATATTTGCAGAGCTTAAATTTCAAATGCTTTACGGTCGTTATGTTAATATACATTTGCATATTTAAACACAAATCATAAAAGCACCGTTGCCCGGGTCAACCGGACGGACTTTTCGTCCGCTTTGTAAATGATACGCGACGTTTCGCTGTCCAAGCCCAAAAATTATTTCTTTCCACTTCCGCAGATACATTTCTCTTCTCCCTTTTATTTTATGCTTTTTCCTGCACTTTTTCTTACGCTTTTGCGTAAATGTTTGTTGTTGGCTCATAAATTATGATGTGCGAGAGTGTGCGAGGGTTTGCGTGTGTGTTTCTGTCCCAGCACGAAACAGAGTGAGAGAGATTGAGCGAGAGGAGGGGAAGAGCGCTCGAGTCTAACGGACAGCCATTGCTCGTTTGTCGTCTCTTCTCCCTTCCTCCTGCGGTTGTCTTGGCCGGCGCCGGTTCATTTGCCTGTCCTCGTGCCTTAGCCATTGGACCCTGTCTCTCAGGGCTCAGGTCTCTGCTGTGGTCGACGTATTTAGTCAAAGTCAAACAAAAACAAAAATAAAGAAAAAGAACCCGAAACGAGGGTACGAAAAAAAAAACAAAAAAGCTTGCGTTTTTTATGCTTATTTTATACACTTTTCGACTGTTTACGCTGTGTTTTATTTCTGCTTGCTTTGCTTTTTCATTCTTCATCTGTTGGCGCTTTGTTTTGTGTGCAGCGTTTTAATGACTGCCAAAGAGCTTAAAGCTCATTATCCCTATTTATCTCTGCGTAATTGGCTCATAGATGATTCGGCTGTTGTTGTTGTTGTTGTCTGGTCTATATTATTGGTGCGTGATTTTTTCGGTCTTTCCCCATACGCTTTGTTTATGGCCGTTGTCCTTTGTGATAAATTCTTATCTTAACTTGTCCCACACAGCTTATCGTGGCTGACAACGTGCCTTATCTGCCTTGCCGCGCATTAGCGCGCATTACAGTTTCTTATACGAGCGAGTCAAAATTATGCAACAGAATCGCCTTGCCATCGCTCAGTACACTTCTCGCAGTACCCTTCTTCCTTCTGCCAACCCACAACCCCCACGCCATTCCACTTACCTTCTTGCTGGAGTGCTGATAATAACGGCGCGGATGCAGCGCACACATGTATCTGTCCACGGCCATGCAGACGAGTATAACGGCGCTTTGCTGCGATAAGGCGCCACGCAGCAGGGCCTGGCGAAAAGTCGGTTCCGTGTGAGAAAGGAAACACGCGAGACAGCAAGAGTGGGAGAGAGACGGAGAGATATGCATATTAAATATTTTATTTTGAAGAAAAATTAATTTTTCGTCTTGCTTGTGGAACAATGTGTTTCAAGACATCCATATACGAAATCTATCTATAGATTTGGTATGGATTTCACTTTGTTTGCCTTGAAGTCGATTCATGTAGCCAAATATGATTTTGATTGACGTTTTGCCAATATTTCATAATCAGATTAGGGGTTATGCTTCCAAGCAACCATTTTTTAAGTTAAATAACCTTTACATTTTGAAATTTAAATTAAAAATTTGTATAACACTTTTAATTTGAGTGGAAAATTGTGTAACTAAATAGGAGTATTAGAAAAAAAGAAATTGTTATAAAGTAAAGTTGATTTGAGATAAATATTGAAGCCACATCTAAGCCATTATATATTAATTACTAAATCAGTTGAGTTGAGAAATTTTAGGACACAATGTGCAGCTTTGCATTACTGGACGCCTTCTTCTTTTGGAATTTAAGTAAGCTAATTTATTTATCAATAAATCTCTAATAACTAAAAATTAAATGGCAAGTTCTATGAAATATCTAGGCGTTTATATGTTATCGATAACTAGCATAGTTATTCAAGTAAGGCAATCGGAAATAGTATTCCTCTTATTTGGTCGCTTTACAGATTTGGGCTTAAATCATATATAACTGTATGTATGTACTATGTATTTATAAATAAGTGAAGCTTTTGTTTAAATTTAAGTGTCAATTAAGTCTAATCTAATTAAACAGTTAACAAGGTACTCGACCGTGAGGCAATTAAGTTGTTTTTGCATATGAAGCCCGAAAGCCGTTAACATCGACTGCCCAATGTGATTCAGCCAGGCAGCGCGGTTCATTGCCCGGCTTATGAACACAATAAAGCATTATCTACACATTAGCTGCCCCGAGCGGAACAATGGAATGCGTTGTGTTGTTACATGGTTATAATTGAGCTATGGTATCGTAACTTAATTGGCAGCAGTACACCTGCACTCACCTGTATCTGGCAGAAGATCTCGCCGTATGGCCAACAATGGAACAATGCGGGCATCAGACCAAACGGCGTGATTAGCAGCCCAATTGTCAGGTCATTCAGGGCCAGCGAGGTGAGCAGATAACGTGGCTAAAAGCAAACACAGTTAACTGTTCTGGCATTTCAATGCGTGTGCGCTGTCTCACCTGTTGATGTATGTAGGCAGCATAGCGCCGATTGTTAATGACAAAGATGACCAGGCAATTGGCCCCGATCACGCCCAAAGTTAGCACCAATATCAACACGGCCTCAATCGTCTCGGCGATGCCAATGTGCACGATGAAGTTATGGCCGGAGTAACGCGGATGCGAGCAGCTCGAGTTCTTCACAGCCGGCGCCACCAGCAATGAGCCAGTCTTCAGGTCCATTGCAATGCTGAAATACACAATTTATTCTTGTTTATTACCTTTCGATATTATTTATAATTTCAAAAACAATTTCAATGCTGAATAATCAATAAGAAATGTAAGCTTCACTTTCAACATGGCCTTTAGGCATTAGCCTTGATGATATTCAAATTGGCAGCGCGCATGATGAAAACACTTTGAACTTTGTGGCGAAATAACTGTAAAGGCTGGAAATTCAATACACCATCAAGCAATATATAAAGAAATTCTATGTATCTCAAATAAAAATTTTTAAAATTTATTAATAATTAAAAATACAATAAAAGTACAAGGAATAACAAAGTATTAAAAAGCTCAAATTCAGCTAAGAATTAAATTTTGTAAGATAAAAATTAATTTTTTAGTATTCTTTTTGGTTTTGAAATAAATTCTTTAAGATAATTTTTAACATTTTAGTAATACATTTTTTCTTTTTATAATAGTTAAAAAATCCAAAAACATTTTTTTTTAATTTAAAGAAAAAAAATCCTTAAAATGTTTGTATTTTAGTTATACATTTTTAAGCATATTTTTAGGACTTAAGAAAATATTGTTAAACATTTTTTTAGAAAATATTCCTTAACATTTTTGTAATATTTTAATATCTAGAAAATTTAAGAACAGAAAGTTTCTCTTCTTTCCTTAAGAAGTAAATGAGAGAATGAGATCAGCTCGCTGTAGTTGGCTAAAGCCAATTGGCTTTTATTGGCGCTGGGCGGTTAGGTCGTTAGCAGTGCATTTGCGGTTGGCGCGCAGCGATGTCGTTTCCGGTGCTTCCGTTTCCCCATGTGCAAATATGCAAAATGGCGACAATTTGTTACGCCATAATCAAGTCAAAACATGCGAAAGCGACGCTGCGATGACAATTTATCAGCTGTGGACCGCAGCGAGTCACATCAAAATGATACGAAATGCAAACAGAAAGGCAGCAGATAGCCAGGAAGAGAGAGAGAGAGAAGTGAGGGGGTGAAAGGGAGGAAGAGAGAGGAAGAGCAGTGCCAATATGGCGACACTTACGGCTCAGCCGAAAACAACGCGCTGACATAATGAAACTTTACAGGATAATTGGATGATTCCGCGTGTTTTTTCTTTGGTTTTCTTTGCTTTCTTTTTGGTGTGGTTCGTCTGGTTTTTAGTGCGTTGTCTTCGCTTACGATAAATCAAAGCCACGTTGATGCCTTTGTCTGCTCGTCGCGCGGCGCTGACATTGAGAAATGTTTGAGAATGGAGCTGCATAACCGAACACTTATTTGCTTTAAAGACTTTCTCGCACTGTGGCAGGCGACGTCTTTTGTCTTCCCTCTGCCACGTACCACGTACACAGGGACTTTTATTAGATGCGGCCATGCTTACAATGTCATATCCTCGGGCTCTGCGCCTGTGATTTATCGTGCTCGTCTCAGCGATACTGTATTTATGCTAAGTCCACAAATCACCGCATGAAATATAACCGAAAACTGCAAAAGCATTAAGCCCAATAGTCCAATAGTCCAATCTAGTCCAGTGTATTAGATTTACTACAGCAATTTCGCACGCAGCCAGCCTCTACGGCATGTTATTAGTTTACGAATGATATTCAAATGAGACAGGCTTAGCTACGGACAGACTCTGAGCTTGATTTGTATGCTAGAAGAAAACTAATGCTCGTTTAGCTGACTTGGAATATTGAATTGAATAAGTTAGATTAGATTTTCATATTCCTTTCGAATTAATTACTAAATCTCTGAGTCTCTAAATTTCAGTAAGTTCTCAATGTGCTTAGTCGTCGAAGATTTGAGAATTTGCATTTACAAAGACATTTTGCAGTGCCACAAATATGCATTTGCATGATTCAATTCGCAGTAGTTGAAGCTGATAGTCATTGAATGCGCCACTAATAAACCGAGAAAGAGAGGGAATAAGGGAGAGCGAGAGAGAGAAGGAGACAATGAAAGTGTGCTGACTGGATTGGCCACAATGTGCTTGCCAAAAACCCAATTCAATTTCGAAGTAATGAAAAGAGGAAATTCGCTTAATTCCACGTATTGTTAAGTTGGACGCAATCGCAATCGCAATTGCAAGCGGCAACTTGCAACTGCCAGCGAGCCAAAGCGTAACCGAAACAAAACCAGTTACAGCTGCAAATGGAGTCAGTGCAGCCATGGCAAGTGCCACAGATTCCAGTGTCAAATGCGAAACCGCGTAATTGTTTTAAAATGCGAATAAGCGAAAATGGCAATAAAATCGTTTGGCTAAAAGCAACGCAAAGCAAAACGAAATACGAAATACGAAATACGAAATACGAGATATACGAACTTGATGCAGATACCGTCGGGGGGCTGTACAGTCATCATCAATATTATATATCTGGCACAAGAACATGGCCAAAGACAAACGACGAATAAATAATTTAGTTGCCGGATTAGAGAGCCACAATCCGCTTGTGAATTTACACTCAAGTTGCTTCCATTAGTGGCATTTGGTGAGCGTACAAAACTATTGCATATCATTAGGCGTTGCTGCTGGCGCTGCCACTGCTGCCGCCTGCATCGCTGCCAACGCCGACTGCAGTCACGTTGCTTGCATAATCCACGCCCCAAACTTATAACAGCAACTTGGCAAAGGATTTGGCCCAGGCTGACAATGAAACAAGCGAAAACGGCAACGAGCCACAGAATGTGGAGCGGGCGACGACCACGACACGGTGCCAGTGTTATTGTGTCCACAAAATGGCCAAAAAAGCGAAGTAGAAGAAGCATGCAACTTGATTAAATTGCCAACTTGACTGTGTATGCGACTTTGACCATGCTCTATAAGCATTTGTTTCAAGATATAAACATACAAATGGAAACTTATTGAATGCATTTTAAACAAATAAAAAACTCAGACTTTGTTTAAATTTAGTTTCTTTTGCTAAGCTCTAAAGTATTTCGGGGATTTCCATTATTATCTTGAAATTAATTGAGTGAATATATATAAATAAATTGTGTTTCTGCTCTTCAACTAATAAATCTAATTTTTCTTGAACTAGCTTTAACTTATTTTAATTGTAAATTATATTTGATGCATTTAAGATATTTCTTAGAGATATCAAATACTTCAAATCTATTTCAAATAATTAAATAATATTAGAATGCCTAAATTCTGTTTTACATTTATTTTGAATAGATTCTAAGCACAAAAATATAATAAAAATAAAATAAATTATGTATTTCAATCATTTTTAAGGGAGATCTCTTAAAATTTTAAAATGCATTTAAAATGTACAAAATAAATTAGAATTTATGAACAAATTAAAATTTGTAGATAACCTAATTTTTATAAAATAAACTAAAATAAATGAAATATTATATAAGAAATTAAAATATAATAAACTAAAACTCATAGACTAAATTTGAATTATTTATTAAAAATTAATTCCCAATACATCATTCTAATTTTAATATCTCATTTAGAAAATCAAGTCATATTTTTTATATATTTTCCGCCCTGTTAAAAACTTGTGCATAAATCTAACTAAGAATCAAATATATGTTCTCCATCATATAATATGCATATAAAGGCTCTTTGCCATAGGCCTATTGGGTCTATTCAAAATGTTGACCGTATATAAATTGTGGGCGTAGAAGTTTATTTGATTTGGAGGGTATACATGGGGGCTTCGAGAGCCAAGCACTAATACAATAGAATGAAACAAGATGAGAATTTGGGATTGGAGAGCAGAGGAAGAGGCAAGGGTGATCCATTCCGTATTCAGAGTGCGTTTTGTCTACGCAACGAATGCGAATCCGTTTCTATGAATATTTCTCTGTGTGTATATGACTGCGTGTGTGCGTGTGTGTGCGGGTCTCTGTGTGTGTGGGTGGGTGTGTGTGGAGGGGAGCTCTATGCGTGCGTGTTAATGCACGAAACTGTAAAGTCCGACCATTTATTCAAGCTATATTCGGGCACAAACCTCTCGATGCATTTCATGCGCACTTACACACACACACACACACACACACATACACAGCAACACATACATACATGAAAAGTTAAAACTGGTGGCGCTCTGTGGCTTTGTTCTTAAGCCTCTGTTGACAGCTCATGTGAATATGTGTGTGCGTGTTCAGTGTGTGGCATGTGTGTGCGTGTGCGTGTGTGTGTGCATGGTATGTGGTGTGTGGGCATTTCAAATGCAAATTTGCTGCGCACGGATTGCGCCAGCTATGTTTCTATACCCTGTACGAGGTGCTAAAGAGAGCATAACACGACTCGTCATATGCAGCAGAGCAACGACGAACTGCTCGAGCTGGACAAGTCAAACTGCTCTCTACCTTGAACATATTCTTGGGTATTGCGAATGTGCATCTTTTAGTCGAGCATACCCCATCTAAAAGAGAGAGAGAGGAGAAGAGAGCGCGCGCAGCTCGCTTAGTTTGTTGCTCTTATTGTCGCTGCACAATTTTGGCAGCATTTGCCAGCTCTGGCTTATTTATAAGATTTGCTTTGAAGCATCGCACTTTACACATGGGTCAAAGCTGATTCCGCTTGACAAAATACCTCAGTTGCTGGCAGCCGCTGACTGATTGCTCGTTGGCGAAAAAGTTACAACTCGAACGAGCCAAGTGATTTAGGCCACATTGTGGGTGTTGCAAGCTCTTCGCTTTTTTGATGCAGCCGAGCTGACATTGTCTGCAGTAAATTGAGCCGTGTTTTGATCAAGTTAAAATTTGTTTTCTATTCAGCTGGGCACGACAAAGGAGACTCTTACATTAGTCAGTTGAAGGCTCTATGGCAAAGTCACCTGTCAGACGGCCAGCGCTAACAAACTTTTTGGCAGCCAGTCAAAGGCTCTGGAAGAGCTGAAGCAAGTCGATGTCAGCTACAGATGCGTTAATTTATATCTGCTCAGCTGTTAAGTTGAAATTCATTTGGTCCAACTTGGCGTATGCGTATTAATTTGTGAAATAAATTATGAAATGAAATTGTCGAGCAAACACAGCATGCGACAATTGCCAGATGTCTTTC